GGCACGGTGATGGGCAGGGAGGAGTATGTGGGCTGAAGAGGGTGTCCTAAGGGGCACAGAGCCCTCCCATCTGACCCGGTCTTCAACTCTGAGAATCCTGAGGCCACGGTGCAAGGCCCTTCAAGGGCCCCAACGGCTCCTCCATTTGGCCACAGGTTAAACTAATCTCTCCCTCAGACTTTGTGGCCCCTCTGGCCTCCACCAGGCCCGCCTCAACCTCGCGTACAGTCACTCTCTCTCATTTTCAGTCTCTTCTTTTCTACCAGGCGACATGCCCCAGAGTAAATCATTCCCTGTCGTTTCCAGAGACCTCCAAGGGATTTTCCATCATAATAATCAAAGACCAATCCCAGTGGGTTTCCATGGGTTCCGGTTCACCATGACTTCCGGGGCGTACTCTTTCTCTTGTCTCTGAGGCAGGCCAGGAGGCCATGGTCCCCAGCGCATCTGGCGAAAACAGCTCTCCAAGGATAAGCACAGAAGTCAAGTCCCTTGAAGAGCCAGGCTGGTCTTTCATCACAGGGAAAGGAAGGGCGACTAGGCACTCAAAGGTAAGACAAGTGGAGAAGCCAGCGCCCTGGGAAACTCCTCGAGATACCCGGGAATCCCGAACCCATTCGCGAGGACCCGACGGCTCCCCAGCCCCCCTCCCCCACCTTCACCTCACCCCGCTCCAGCCCGCCCTGTCCAAACCCCTCCGGCCTCCACCTCTGAGGGCCGGCTCGCGCCCGAACTGGGTGGGGTTGCGGGATCTGCCTCGAGGCCACTTGGTCCCGCGGAGGCAGCCTAAGCTGCGTGGCCACGCCCCCCAGGGCGCGCTCTGACCAATGAGAGTTACTCCTCGCCCCCTGGGCCCCGCCCCCGCTGCGGCAGGCTACTAACGGTTTTAACGGTCCTAACGGTTTCAACCGTTAACCATTTAATCGTGGGCCTGGCCTGCTAACCTACATTTCGCCGGGCACCAACACACCCACCCACGCGCACCTCACGAGATGGACCCTCCCACCTCCACACTCACACCCTGCAGTCCACCCACCCCTCACCAGGCATCCTTAGCCGATGAAGACCCACTCAGTAGTCAACGCACAGTAGTTATAGATGGCTGGCTAAGTCATGAAATGGGATGAGATCACCAATGAAGGAGTATGGATGGAAAACAGGTTGTATTGAGTCCTAGGACACACAACGTTTAGAGGCTTAGATGAAGAAAAAGCAGCAAAGGAGCCAGAGTGGGAGTTGTTAGGGATAGGGGAGGAACCGCAGGAGAGTGAAGTGCTGTGGAAGCCACCTGGACCATCCTTCAAAGAGGAGGAGGTTAGCTGTGTCAAATGCTGCTGATGAGTCAAGGAAAATGAGGAGTGAGAATTAATTATTGGTGACCTGGAAGGGAGCAGTTTTAGTGATGTAGTGGGGACAAAAACCTGATTGGTGTGTGGTTTCAAAAGACATTGCTGATAAAGGACTAGTATCCAAAATCTATTTAAAAACTCAACAATAAAAAAATTAAGTTGGCCGAAGAGCTAGACACCTCCCCAGAGAAGATACACAGATGGCAAATAAACATATGAAAAATGCTCAACATTGTATGCATTAGGGAAATGCAAAATAAAACAGATAACACTATGCAACTTTAAGAATTGCCAAAATCCCAGAATGCTGGAAACACAAAATGCTGGTGAGGCTGTGGAGCAACAGGAACTCTCATTTGTTGCTGATGGGAAAGCTGAATGGTACAGCCACTTTGGAAGATGTTCTGGCAGTTTCTTATAAAATTAAATATACTCTTACCATATGATCCAGCAGTCATGCTCTTTGGTATTTACCCAAAGGAGTTGAAAACTTATGCCCACACAAAAACCTGCACATGGATGTTTATAGCAGCTTTATTCATAATTGCCAAAACTTGGAAGCAATCAAGTTGTCATCTTCAGTAGGTGAATGGATAAATAAACTGTGGTACATCCAGACAATGGACAATTATTCAGGACTAAAATATCTATCAAGCTATGAAAAGACATGGAGGGAACTTAAATGCATTTTACTAAGTGAAAGAAGCCAATCTTGAAAAGGCTACATACTGCAGGATTCTAAACAGTATGACATTCTGGAAAAGGCAAAACTATGGAGATAGTAAAAAGATCAGTAGTTGCCAGGGGTTAGAGGGGGAGGGTGGGCTGAATAAGTTGAGCACAGAGGATTTTTAGGGCAGTGAAACTATTCTTTTTGATACTATAATGGTGCATACATGTCATTATACATTTGTCCAATCCCATAGAAGGAACAACACCAAGAGTGAACTCTAAGGTAATCTATGGACTTTGGGTGATAATTCTGTGTTGATTTAGGGTCAGCATTTATAATAAATGTACTATTCTGTATGTGTGGGAGCAGGAGGTATATGAGAAATCTATGGACCTTCCACTCCATTTTGCTTTGAACCAAAAACTATAAAAAAAAGTCTATTAAAAAAATAAATTAAAAAAAAAAGAGCAACAGGAGAGATTTGGCATATCCATACAATGGAAAACTACTAAGCAATAAAAAGGAATGAACAACTGATAGGCACAGTGACATGGATAATTCTCAAAATAATTATGCCAAGTGAGAGAAGACAGACACACAAAAGAATACATACTGGATGATACCACTTACATAAAGTTCTAGAAAATGCAAATTATAGTGACAGAAAGCCAAACAGCAGTTTGCTGAGTGCCATATAGAAGGAATACTAATGGGCAGAAAGAAACTTTGGGGTGTGGATATGTTTACTACCTAGATTGTGGTTATGTTTCATAGATGTATACATAGATCAAAATGTGTCAAGTTGTACAATTTTTTTTTGTTTTTTGGCGGTGCCCCGTGGCTTGTGGGATCTTAGTTTCCTGACCAGGGATTGAACTTGGGCCCTCGGCAGTGGAAGTACAGAGGCCTAACCACTGGACTGCCAGGTAATTCCCTCTACAACTTTTTGACTTACCATTTTTAAGATTTATCTCTGTGGATTCAAGTATCTGTAGCCAGACCTACTAGAGAATGGACTTGAGGATATGGGGAGGGGGAAGGGTAAGCTGTGACAAAGCAAGAGAGAGGCATGGACATATATACATTACCAAACGTAAGGTAGATAGCTAGTGGGAAGCAGCCGCATAGCACAGGGAGATCAGCTCGGTGCTTTGTGATCGCTGGGAGGGGTGGGTTAGGGAGGGTGGGAGGGAGGGAGACACAAGAGGGAAGAGATATGGGAGCATATGTATATGTATAGCTGATTCATTTTGTTGTAGAGCAGAAACTAACGCACCATTGTGAAGCAATTATACTCCAATAAAGATGTTAAAAAAAAAAAGTATCTGTAGCCAATTTATAGTAACTCCATTATTTCGTTGTTTGATTATAGGCCAATTTTCTCATTGTCCTCTTGATAAACATTCAGCCTGTTTATAGTTTTTCCCCTATACAGATACAGCAATGAACATTTTTGTAGTTGTGAATACACGTGAGAGGGGATCTCCAGGGTTACTATACTAATAGGGTGGACTTTCTGGCTAGTAGGGCTTGTGCCAGTGACAAAGCCCTACTGAGTGTTTCCTGTTTTTGAACTTTTCGTTGGCAGAGTTTTAGAGGCTAATCGCCAGCTTCTTTGGGTTAGTAAAAGGAGTGAACTGTTCATGTCCCTGTGTTATAAATGAGAGAGACAATAATCTGCCCAAGGCTAGCTTGGGATGGAACCATGGTGTCAGATACTTTCATGCTGCTTCTTTTGCTCCTCTGTTATGCTCTCTCCTCCTTCACTTGGGCCCTTGTAACATTCACCAACATTTGCCACCAGTTAGTGTTCCCAGTCACCACAAACTCCTGAGAAGTTGATAGAGCCTTATTCTGAAGCAGCATTTTTATCCTAAGAGCTACCAGCCCCTTTAGCATTTCTTCTAACTCCATGAAATGTTATAAATTTATATCCCTGGCAGTATGGTTGAAGTTTAAAAAATGCAGGATTTGCCTTTAAAATATTCGCTATTTCATTGACTGTGAGCTCATCAGACTCCACTGTGGAGCCTTATATGTTTATATAAGAACTCTCCCAAGCTGTTAATGCTGAGGGACAGATTTCTCTCAGAGAGAAGTAAGAATAGAGCAGGAAGCACAAAGGGGTAGCAGGCTGGGCTCTACCTCAACAATCAGGAGCATTGTGTAGTCACAACATCCCTTTGTCACTAAGCAACAAGAAGTTGACCTGCTGAGATGCTCTTTCTCCAGAAGTAACCTCAAAAAGACAAGAGGAAAGTTTGCCTTTTCTGCTCGTTTCCCAGAAAGATGCAAAGTGCTTTAGTAGGCTCCTGGGTAAGAGTGTACTTTACATTAATCCTAGCCCCTGGCCCTGGGGTAGTACCTGAAATATGAACTACTCATGAGAATAAAGTGAGAATGGTTTCATCCAGCATCCAGGCTAGAGGAGGACCCCAAACTGCCCACTCCCCCTCTGCCATTATGAGGTCCCGCTACAGCTTATCTAGTCTTCCTGACATCATGCCCTCTTCCATGTGTCCTGGTCTCATGCCTGGATTAGCTGATCCTCTTAGTCCTCTAGCCACCCCATTTATTCCCAGTCCTTTGTTTGATCCCCCCAAACTTCTGTAGTTTGACTGCTCTCTAGACTGGGAACATCTTGAGGCTAAAGACTGCCTTCTACTATCTGTATGTCCCATGCCTGGAATACAGTAAAGGCCCAGTAAATACTGTTGAAATAAACTGAATAGAGAGAAAGGAGTGTTTGACAATAGTAGAAGGATGGACAGACGAGTTGGATGACCCAAGCACTCAGTGGGATGAAAAGATAAAGGGCTTCCCAGGCACGCTTAGGAGCCCACTTTGATGGCCAGAGGCCAGCTGGGAACAGGTTCTTTCTGCTCAGGACTATGATCATGGCGTGGACTAGACACATTGTCCTCTCCAGGGGGTATTCAGGACAGTGAGGTTGGGCCATAAGAGTTCCCAGGCCAGACATGGTCATCCATGTTGTCAGCCTAATGACATCAGCACAGTACAGCTTCTTATACCCCCAGTAGGTGCTCATTTCTGTCTTCTGCCAGTCCTTGTCTCTGAAATTCTCTCCAGAAGGTATCCACTGTTGGTAAAGTACTTCTTTGGGAAAGTTCATCCTTTGTTTAAGTGCTCCAGTTTCAGAGGGTGCCCTACTTGCCCCAGAATAACGAAGTGTGTAGCAAACAGGTGTTCGTGACTTTGTCAATAGATGCAGAATATGTATCCATTTAATCCTGGCTTTTCAGTGACCCTTGACCTCTATTAACAATGCAGGGAACACAATGAAGGGGCTTCCTCTCAGATCCCCCAGGGAAGGACCATGCTACTAGATGGTGGCCGTGTTCTCAAAACTCTGCTCAGTGCTTCCTAAGTCACCCTAACTCAGAACCTGTCTGGTCCCCTTCCCTGCTGAAGTCTTCCCTTGCTCTTGGAAGAGAATCCATGTTCCTAACCCAGTCTAGGTCCTGTCCCTCCCTGACCTCACCTTACTTCTCCTTGTCTTGCTCACAGCCTTTTAGTCAATAAGGCCTCTTTTTTTTTTTTTTTTTTTTCGGTTCTTCCAACACAACTCTGTCTCTGGCCTCTGAATCTTTGCACTTGCAGTTCTCACCACATAGAATGCTCTTCTGCTGCCCCTCACATGGCTGACTCCTTCAAGTACCATGCCCATTGTCATGAGATGCTGTCCCTACTCCCTGTCACTCGATCTAGTCATCAGGTTCTTTCTTTCCTGACTCTATTCACTTGTCTTACTCCCTCACCAGAAGGAAGGTTGATAGAGGCAGGGTCTTTCTGTCTTTTCACTGCTGTGTGTGTCCCCAGCCCATATTAGGACCCTATTGAAGAAAGAAAGAGAGAGAGAGAGAGAGAGAAAGGAAGGAAGGGGGGGAGGGAGGGAGGGAGGGTGAGAGGAAGGAGGGGAGGAAGGAAGGAAGGCACCCTTTCCTTACAGACATAACCCTCCCAGGTGGGCCAGCACAGCTGAGGCCAACTGTTCTAATGGTGGATGGAGACACCTCTCTGTTGGCGCCTCTCCAGGGTGTCCCTCCTTCTCTGATTCTTTTTATTCTGTCAGGAACTCCCAGGAGAGGCTTCTAGCCTGGGGGCTCTGAGGTCTAGGACTCAGGGTGGGGGTTGGGGTGGGATTCACCCTCAAGCCTGCCTTGTTACAGCACAACAGTGGCTTCTATGGGCACTACAGAGGCCAATTCAAGAGTGAAAGTGCTCGAGAATATCGCCTTGCAGCCAAGCCCCAGCCCCCAGCAGTGTTCCTGCAGCGCTGTCAGGTACGAGGCAGCCCTGGGTGCAGCTGCCACGGCTGAGCCAGATTCTGCTTCTCTCAGGCCCCAAGAGCAATATCCTCAACCTTAACGCAACTGGACTGACACTTGAGGCCAGCCTATCCCCAGGACTTGCATGAGGCCTGGCCCCTCTTCCCTGAAATGTCAGGTCCTCCCCCTACAGATACATGGGTGGAGAAGAGCCAGTACCAGGCTGGACAGTTTTGCTCACTGCTCCTTCTAAATGGAGGAAGAGTCAGGGTCTAGGTGGGGTGGGTGGTCATGGAGAGAGAGCCTCCAGAACCCAAGAAGTAAGCCTTGAGTTTTGCAGACGGCTGTCCTTCAGCACAGATTCCTTGATGCCATGAAAGTCAATGGTCTAGCTCACAGGCAGCCTCGTAGTCCAGGGGCTCAGGAGTGAGTAGGAGGCCTCCTCTGGTCAGTAAAACAGCATAGAAAGTGGCAGGTGTCCGCCCCCATGCCTAACCAAGGAGGACTGGAAAGGAGTGATGGCAGAAACGGCCTAGGGTGGCTGGAAAAGGCTTCCAGATAACAGGAGAGGGACGCAGGGCTGCAGGCCCTCCACTGCTTCCAGGCCTGGAGACAAGGAGGGGACACTGAGCATAGTCAGGGTCCCAAAAGTAAAAAGCCCACTCAAAACAGAACTCAGGAGGGTATACATATAAAGGAGTAGGTGTGGGAGCTTCAGGGAAAGGTATTCTCACAGGATGGTAAAAACCAAGTGGTCAGTACTGCTGGGCTTTAAGGAACAAGGGGAAGGCATGGCTCCTAGAACCCAGATGGAGAGAGTGGTATGGAGAGGGCTCTCCTGAGAGAAGTGGTGATTTCGGGTAGAGAGACACAGCCAGGTAGGGGCGGGCCCGGAAGGGAGCCAGGAGAAGAAACACCTCCTCCCTCCTTCCCTCCATCTCCTTTCCAGGCTTCCTTTCAGGTCAGAGGGAAGTCAACCTGGTGAGAAGTGTGCTCACATCAGACTCCTGGGAAAGATCAGGGTGGAGGAGGCCTGAGAGGGACCTGGAGGTGTGCCTGGAACATGCTCCGCCCACTGCAGCTTCTTGTTTCCCAGCCTCTAGCCAGGTCCTACTTGACTGGCCATCTGGATTCTCTACAAATTGCTTTCCCAGGCCAAGAGCAGGGTCTTGGAGTCTGCCATGCTACAGAGCCTGAACTTCCTTAGCATGCCCAGTTGGAACGGCTGCCTGGTACTGCCTACTGAGCAAGGCCCAAATGCAACTCCAGACTGCTCGTCTGGGGCCACCTCCCTTGAGAGAGTGATGAGATCTGCCTAGTACAGGGACAGAGGTAACCTGGGCACTTCCTGCTGGGTGTCTGTAGTAGTCCTCAGTGGCAGCCCTCATCCCAAAGACCTGAATGTCCTCTTAATCTGTCCCCCAGGAACAGAGTAGAGGACATATTTGGGGACATATTTTGATTGAAGTGAAGTCTTGTTACATGTTGGCATTATCAGCAACCCCAAAATAGCATGGTCTGTGTATCTTGGGCTTAGGTTGTACAAATGCCAAGTCTGACCCTTTCTAGATCTAAAGCTGTTTTAATTAGTGGGACTACTCAGGGAAGGTGCACATTCTTTTTTCTTATTTGCTGAGAGATACCAAGTGTCAGCTGGCTGACTGCAGCTATTCTTGTTGAAAACCTTTCCAAGATGTAGCAGCCACTTACCTTTAGTTTGGGGCAGGTAGAAATTTTGTCATTCAGATGCAAGAAGATTCTTTTTTCTTTTTATTCTTCTTTTTCTTTTTTTCTTCTAAACCAGATTAGTTTATTTCTGGCCTTCACCTGTCTGACTCTTGGTAAATGTAATCCTGGTCTTGTTTGTTCTTAAGGTCAGGCCAGAGTGCCAGGGCTCATGGTTGGAGGCAGGTCCTTCGTTGGTGGTGCCGTGATTGCTGTGTCTCTGCCTCTGCCCCACCCCCCACCATGCCTCAGTCTGCCACAGGGACTCCTCACTCAGTACCCCACTAATTGCACACTGCCCAGCCTCCAGAGAGGCCCTTAGTCCTCCCACAGGCAAACATTGACCCATCCCAGGAAACCTACTTCTCTTCCAAGGCCTCTTTAGCTCAAACCCTAGCCCAAGCCCTACCTGCTCAGAGACCACGGATTTTACCACCTGAGTGGAAAAGGAGCTTTAGATGGTTTAGAAGCAAAGATGCAGGTGAAATTCTCCTCAGGGACAAGAATACTTAGAACTGCCTGGGTGGAGAGGAAATTACTGCACTTTTCACTAGACTCCCACAGTTGTGAGAATAAAACTTAAGTCAGTGGGAGTCGATAGATGATCCTGTCACTGTAAGAATAGTGAGTTTCCAAATTCAGACCTGCCTCCAACAGCAGAGGCATCCACATTCTAGGGCTGTGTACAACTTTAAAGCTAAGGGTAGAGATGGGGGAGGGATTGGGGGGGCAACTGGAACATGCCCCAGACCTCCAGATTTTTTAATTGAAAATTTTTTTGAGATGGTTGTAGATTCAGAAACAGTTGTAAGAATTAGTAAAGAGAGATCCCTTTATGCTTTGCCCAGTTTCCCCCAATGGTAACATTTTGCATATCTATAGTAAAATATCACAACCAGGACGCTGACATTGCTGCAATCTACCTATTTCATTCAGATTTCCTCATTTGTGTGTGTGTATTAAGATCTATAAAATCTTGGAATTCTCTGGTGGTCCAGTGGTTAGGACTACACGCTCTCACTGCTGAGGGCCTGTGTTCGATCCCTGGTCAGGGAACTAAGACCCCACAAGCCACGTGGCATGGCCATAAAAACCCATAAAAATCTATAAAATCTTTTTTAAATTAATTTTAATAACAGTATAGCTGATTTACAATGTTGTGTTAGTTTCTGCTGTATAGCAAAGTGAATCAATTATACATATACATATATCCACTCTTTTTTAGATTCTACTCCCATATAGGTCGTTAAAGAATATTGAGTAGAGTTCCCTGTTCTATACAGTAGGCTCTTATTAGTTATCTATTTTATATATAGTAGTGTGTATATGTCAATCCCAATCTCCCAATTTATCCATTCCCCCTGCTTTCCCCCTTGGTAACCATAAGTTTGCTTTCTATATCTGTGACTCTATTTCTGTTCTGTAAATAGGTTCATTTGTACAATTTTTTTAGATTCCACATATAAGTGATATCACATGATATTTGTTGTTCTCTGTCTGACTTACTTCACTCTGTATGACAAGTTCTGGGTCCATCCATGTTGCTGCAAATGGCATTCTTTCTTTTTATGGCTGAGTAGTATTCCATTGTATATATGTATCACATCTTCTTTATCCATTCCTCTATTGATGGGTATTTAGGTTGCTTCCATGTCCTGGCTATTATAAATAGTACTGCAATGAACATTGGGGTACACGTATCTTTTTGAATTATGGTTTTCTCCAGATATATGCCCAGGAGTGAGCTTGTTGGATCATATGCTAGTTCTATTTTTAGCTTTTTAAGTAATCTCCATACTGTTCTCCATAGTGGCTGTTACCAATTTAAATTCCCACCAACAATGTAGGAGGGTTCCCTTTTCTCCACATCCTCTCCAGCATTTATTGTTTATAGATTTTTTCATGATGGCCATTCTGACTGGTGTGAGGTGATGCCTCATTGTAGTTGTGACTTGCATTTCTCTAACAATTAATGATGTTGAGCATCTTTTCATGTGCCTCCTGGCCATCTGTATGTCTTCTTTGGAGAAATGTCTATTTAGATCTTCTGCCCATTTTTTGATTGGGTTGTTTGTTTTTTTGATATTGAGCTGCATGAGCTGTTTGTATATTTTGGAGATTAATCCCTTGTTGGTCACTTCATTTGCAAGAGAAAAAAAAAGATCTATAAAATCTTATCACCCGTGTAGGTTTGTGCATCCACCACCACAGTCAAGATACTGACCAATATCACAAGGATCCCTGGTCCTGCCCTTTTTTTTTTTTTTTCGCGGTACGCGGGCCTCTCACTGTTGTGGCCTCTCCCGTTGCGGAGCACAGGCTCCGGACGCGCAGGCTCAGCAGCCATGGCTCACGGGCCCAGCCGCTCCGCGGCATGTGGGATCCTCCCGGACCGGGGCACGAACCCGCGTCCCCTGCATCGGCAGGCAGACTCTCAACCACTGCGCCAGCAGGGAAGCCCGTGGTCCTGCCCTTTTATACCCATCAGCCTCTCATTCCTCCACCCTTCCCCTGTCCCTAACTGCTATTTTTCCTCCATTTCTAAAATTTTGTGACTTCAGAAACGTTATGTGAATGGAATGATACAGCATGCAACCTTTGGGGAATGGCTTTTCTTGCTCAGCATAATTTCCTGAAGATTCCTCCAAGTTGTGTGTATCAACGGTTCAATTTCCATTACTGAGTAGTATTCTGTGGTATGTATATAGCAGTTTACTTAACCATCCATCTATGAAAATGTATCTGGGCTGATTCCAGTTTTTACCTCTTACAAATAAAGTTGCTATGAACATTTGTGTACAGGTTTTTGGGTGAACATAAATTTTCATTTCTTTGGAATAAATACCTAGGAGTGCAATTGCTGGGTCATATGATAGTTGCATTTATTTATTTATTTTTAATATTTTATTTATTTATTTGGCTGCACCGGGTCTTAGTTTCGGCACACGGGATCTTCGTTGCCGCGTGAGGGATCTTTAGTTGCAGTATGCAGGATCTTTTTTTTAGTTGTGGCACGCGGGATCTTTTTATAGTTGCAACATGCAGAATCTTTTAGTTGCGGGCATGCAGACTCTTAGTTGCAGCATGTAGGATCGTGTTCCCTGACCAGGGATAGAACCTGGCCCCCTGCAATGGGAGCTCAGTCTTAGCCATTGGACCACCAGGGAAGTCCCTGTAGTTGCATTTAAGTTGTTTGTTTGGTTTTTTAATGTGGATGGAAATTTTTTTTAATTGAAGGAAAGATTCTTTAAATTCTATAGCACTTTACAATTTTCAAAAGTTTCACACACGATTTCATATAATCCCATAATAACTTTTTTTCTCCTACCCCTATATTGTACCTCCTGCATGTTAAGTTTTTTTTTTTTTAATTGTCAAACTGTTTTCCAGAGTGGCTGTTTCACATTTTACATTCCCACCTGCATTGAGCAAATGATTGTATTTCTCTGCATTCTCACCAACATTTGGTGTTGTCTCTATTTTTTTATTTTAGCCATTCTGATTGATGTGTCATGATAGCTCACTGTGGGGTTTTTTTGTTTTTTTTTTTTGAGTGTGTTGGGTCGTCATTGCTGTGCGCAGGTTTTCTCTAGTTGTGGTGAGCGGGGGCTACTCTTCGTTGTGGTGTGCGGGCTTCTCATTGTTGTGGCTTCTCTTGTTGTGGAGCACAGGCTCTAGGCACGCAGGCTTCAGTAGTTGTGGCACGTGGGCTCAGTAGTTGTGGCTTGCAGGCTCTAGAGCGCAATCTCAGTAGTTGTGGCACACGGGCCTAGATGCTCCATGGCATGTGGGATCCTCCGGGGCCAGGGCTCGAACCCGTGTCCCCTGCATTGGCAGGCAGACTCCTAACCACTGCACCACCAGGGAAGCCCTCTCACTGTGGTTTTAATTTGCATTTCCCTAACATTCAGTGATGGTGAACATCTTTTCATGTGTTATTTGCCATCTGTATATCCTCTTTGAAGAAATGTCTTCCTGTTGTTTGCCCATTTTCTAATTGGAATTTTTACTTTGCTGTTCAGTTGTGAGAGTTCTTTATACATTCTAGATACTAGTCCTTTATTGGATATGTGATTTGCAAATATTTTCTCTCAGTCTGTAACTTGTCTTTTCATCCTCTTCACATGGACTTTCACAGAGCAAAACTTAAAAAAAAATTTTGATGAGGTCTAATTTATTGATTTTTTTTTCTTTTATGGCTCTTGCTTTTGGTGTCACATCTAAGAACTCTTTGCCTAGCTCTAGATTCTGAAGATTTTCTATTTTTTTCCTGAAAGGGCTCTGGGTTTTTAATCTCTTGTGTCAGTTTGCTTTATGAGGAATGAAAGGTAAGGCCAGCTGGCTTCCTACCTTCATGGAGCTTTCATTCGATTTGGAGAACACCAGCTGTCTAAGGCAGGAGGTCCCAATAGGGGAGCTTGTTAAAGGCTCCACCCCGAAGATTCTGGTTCAGGGATCTGGGATGGAGCTAGCCCCTGACTTTTATCTAGCAACTTATTGTCAGCCATTGCTCATACCCCAACCCAGCCAAGATTGGACTCACCAGATCAGGTACTTCATTCTGGTCCGCAGCAGGAGAAGCTGACTGGCTGAGGTGGAGGGACCCTGGGGGCAGAGACCAGGCACAAAGGCAAGGTGGACGGTCTTGGGAGAGATTCCTGCTGAGGTCTAGGGGCCTGAGAGGTGGTCTCTCTCTGCCTGGGGATGGAACATGGCTCTCTGGCCCCAACTGGGCTAAAGCAAATGCCCTGGGGATCTTCTGTCCCTGTTCACTGATTTAACAGCAAATATATATTGAGCACAGTGCCAGGCTCAGTGTTGGAGTTATAGATGTGAGTAAAACAGACAGTAACCTTGCCCATGAGGTGCTTGTGTTCTAGTCAGGGGCATCAGATGGTAAACAGCAACATAATACATAGTAATACAGTATGTTAGAAGGTGAAAAATGCTGGGTTGGGGTGATGGGACTGCTGGTGTAGTAGTGGTCAAGGAAGACCTCCCAAGAGGTAGGTGAGAGGGAGTCATGGCCAGCTGGGAGAAAAGTCCCAGGCAGAAGTAACTGGTAGTACAAAGGTCCAAGGTGAAAGTAGCTAGTGTATTTGAGGAACAGTGAGGACGCCAGTGTGGCTAGAGGTAATGGAGGAATCAATATCATGTGGATCTCATGGACCACTATGATGACTTTGACTTTTATAAACATGAGGAACTGTTGTGGATTTTTGGCAAACAAGGAGTGTGATCTGATTTACATATTAAAACAGTTATTCTGCCTGCTAAGAGGACAATAGACTGGAGAGGCAAGCTTGGAAGTAGGGACACCAAGTGGGAAGCTCTTGCAGTAATTGAGGCATGAGGGGAAGGTGGCTTAGACCAGAGAAAGCAGCGGCTATGCTGAGAAGTGGTCTGATCCTGGGTACATATTGAAGGAAGTATCAGCAGGATTTCCTGGCACACTGGATGTAGAGTGTGAAAGAAAAGAATCAAGGGGACTCCGGGGTGTTTGGCAAGATCTAGCTGCCATGACCTGAGCTGGGGGAGGCTATAGGTGGGGTGGTTTTGGGGAATGATCCAGAGCTCAGCCATGTGTCTGGAGATGCCCGTTAAGACATTTACATGGGAATATGGAGCAGGTGGTTGGCTAGTGAGTCTGGAGTTCGGGAGAGAGCTCAAGCTCTAAAGAGAAATTTCAGTTTCCAGGTGGTATTTAGGGCCAAGAGGCTGGGTTGTTGATGAGAGAGTGAAAGAGAGGAGGAGAGAGCTGGAGCCTAGTCCTGGATGATCTAAAGGACCCAATGTGAAACTTAAACCACTGCCCCACTAACGGCAGGATGTCCTGGAAAATGCCTCAGCCCCTTCCTCAATCAGTGGCCCCAGAGGCTTCTGCTTTGAGAGCAAGTGCTGGGATGAGATGTTCCAGGAATGAGGTGTTGCTTTAATTTTTATCTGCCCTTTCAGTGTGTTGGCAGTTTAGCAGTTTAAGGATGGTGGCTCCTGGCAACTTCCCTCCATTATGGGGCCCTGAGTTAGCATCTTGGGGACAGGTAAGCATCATCTTTCCCCATTCACCTTCTTTTTCACTGTCTTTCTAGGAGCCAGCGCAGCAACATTTCTTCTCCAAGCATGACAACCGCACTTCCTTTGACAAAGTGAGTGCTAGAGAGAGGAAGGAAAATGGGCAGACTCCCAGCCTAGGTTGAAGTTGAGGTAGGGTGGAGGGGAAAAGACATTCCAGGGAGAGAGGGCTCTTTATACAGACAGAGGAGTGTCTGTCTTCCTGACAACCTCTTTCTTCTGGGAAACAGCCCATTCTACAAACAGATGTACCTCTGCTTTGGTTTCCCCCACCAGCTTGCCTGACAATGTGCAAATATCTTAGGAACCACTGACTTTCTGGGGGCTTCATTCACTCTGGAATGGAAGGCATGACTGGGGATGCAGGCCAAAGAGGCTGGGGTCCAGGCCAGGGAGGCCAGGCACAGGCCAGGCATCACCAGGCAGGCTTGGGTATAGGAGGGGCCCAAGGAATTGCCTGGTGCCAGGACTGTGGGCCAAGGGCCCATACCGTTGAGGAGGGCCCCTACTGCCTGCTACAGGGAATCGGAAGGCGGAAAGACCTGGAGCGCCTGTGGCAGCAGCACACCTTCCTGCGCTGGGCACCCTGTGAACTGGAGTTGCGCCAGCCACGGCCCCTTGAATCCTCCTACCAGGCTGATTTCCGGTCAGGGCCAGGACTCAGTGACCTCCCCCAGCGCCTTGCCCACTTTGTGCAGATCCAGCCTTCCCGTGCTAGCACCACCTACCAGCAGAACTTCTGCCAGCCATCCCGTGGTAGCCATTGTGGCAGTGACAACATGGGGCCCCAGGCCCCAGTCACCAACACACTGCCTGACCTCCCAGGGATCCCAAGACCCAAGCTGCTGCAGCATTACCTTCATGCTGGGGTCTCTGAGTGTCTAAACTGGTCCAGAACATTAAACAAGGACAGCTAACTCAGTGGCCTGTCTGTGCTTGCAGCCCAAGAGATCTCAGAGGCTGGAGAACAGTAAGGCACAGCCAGGCCCTGCGCCTGGCTCCTATGTTGCTTGTGCCATGGAGCCTTGTGCAGCCTTGTGCTGGTTGGGGGAGGTGCTGCCTGGGGAGTCTTGCCAGTGAGTGAGAAGAGGTAAGGCCTGCAGGAGGCTAATGGTCCAGGAAGGTTACCTTGGCCACAGCAGGTGGGTTCCAGGACCCCAAATCCATTCTTGCCACAAACTCAACTGTGAACCCCTTGCAATCAGTACGGCTGCAGGGAAAGCAGAGTCAATGGTCCCTACTAGTGGGCAGCAAAGACTGGAGGAGGAGGCAAGGGCTGGCAGCTTTGCTTTTTCTGGGATGCTACTGCCTCTAGGGGTCTGGTGAGTGGCAACACAGTCATGCCTAAGAGACAGCTTCACCACAGCTGGGACAGAGGGACAGCCCCCACTGGACACACACCCCGCCCCCGCCACCGGAGGTGAGCAGAGGCTTTGAGGATGCTGTGTGATGTGAATCTTGAGGTCATCCTGATCCTATGGTATTTTGTTGCAGTTTTCTGAGCTCTTCTATGGTCTTGCTGTGAGTGCCCTCTAACAGCCAGGGCAATAGGGGATGGGGGGTCATCCTACGTCACCAACAGAGAACTGAGGCTTAAGTGGGACTAAGACACCAGGACACTTTGGGGGCAGAGGCCAGGTCCTAAAGGCTCCTCTAGACCCTCATCGCCTGAGAAAGTTGAGGGCCAGGGGCTCAGGGGCAACGCAGGAGTCCACACCAGAGGCCATAAGCCAGATTTAGCAGCACTTTTACTTCCACATCTGAACTCCCTGGATCCTCACAACAGCCCTGTGAGGTAGGTAGGGCAGGAAGGTTTCAGAGATCCCCATTTATAGATGAGGATGCTGAGGCACAGAGAGGTGAAATGACTTGCCCAAGGTCACACAGCCAGCAGTGTAAAGGGCCCAAAGCCACCATTCTTCTGGCCCTCTGGAAGTCCCCACATCCACTCCTGTACCCCTCTGTGTTCCCACCCTCTCTTACCTCTTCTGAGTCCACAAGGGCCTTCAAGGCAGGCTGACAGCTAGGACTTTTCAGGAACAGCCATTGGGGAGGGCCTGATCAACTCCAGGTAGGCACTGACCTGTAGGGCAGGAGGCCAGCTCTGCCCTCCCCCACTTCCCAGTTGGACAGAGGGCCCAGTAGGTTCCAGAGCAAGGGTGGAGCTGGGCATGGTCCGTGAATGAAAGGGAGTAAAGGTGGGTATAAAGGTATGTGTGTCCTTTGCTAAAGATGAAGGCCACCCCCAAGTCCCAGACACGGTGTCTCAAGTGCCCCACCCTGTGCCTCCCTCATCCCACAGAGCCACAGTGAGCTTTCTCAGCAGCAAAAGGAACCACAGACATCTGCTTCTGGCACTGAACTGCTCCAGTGGACAGGTCCCATCAGGCATTCAGACCCCATCACGCAGACACAGTGCCTCCACAGCTTGACTGGGACCCTGGGCCACACCCCCGATGGCAAACAGCCGGGGCCCAGCCTGCAGACTAGAACAGGAGCAGCGGGCTGTGGGCATGGGAGGCAGTGCCTCCCAGCGCCGCCGTGCAAGGCTGAAGCCCTCCACAGAGCCCAGAGGGCACGGCTGGTTTCCTGCAGGAAGAAGACAGATGTTGTAAAGGGCACAGGCTGCAGGGGCTCCAGCTCTTTTTCTCCCTGAGCTCAGAGCATGGCCCAGCATGCATTACCCCAGGATGGGCTATCCATGCTTTGCTACTCATTGCCCCCATTTCATCACTCATTCATTTATTTATTCACATTTCTATTTCTCCATTCATTCAGTGGTCATTTGTCCTGTTTTTATCTCCTAGGCCCCTGCTGGTACAGAACCCACAGTTAGGTGCTGAGAGACACCCCAAAAGCTGAGCCAGGCAGACCACCCACTGACTGTTTTACAGATTGGAAAAGGGAAGCTCACAAAGCCATGACCCCTGGAGTACCTAGAGAAGGGCAGGAGGTGGTACTCACGCAGGGGGCTACTCTTTCCTGTCTTGGGCTCCCCTCCTATCCCTAGCCCCACAGAGACTCACCAAGGCCCCCAATGGCCACGATGTGGTCCCCAAGTGAGCCAACCACAAAGTCGGCCCTCTTATCCCTCATGCGCAGGCTTCGGGGCAGCTTGGTCCAGGACCCTGCAGGGGAGGGGAGGTCAGATCTAGCCCCCTCACACACACTGCACCCCTCCATCCCATGGAGAGTGGGAGAATAGCCCAGACCAGCCACTGCTCACCATGCTCCAGGTCGAACATCTCCACAGTGTTGACAAAGTGTGGGCGGGAGTAGAAATTGTGGGGCCCGGGCTGCTGCAGGCCACCCAGGCTAAAGACGCTGCCTTCGGCCATCACGCAGCCGGCAAAGGCCCGGCGGCTGGGCAGGCTTGGGTGTCGGGTCCAGGTACGGGCCTCCAGATCAAAGGCCTCAAAAGCAGTCACTGGGAGCTTGCCCTGGCGGCCCCCTGCGAATGGAATTGGGGCACCTGGGAGGCAGCCCAGGAGGCCTGGCAGCCTCTTCCTTTACCAGGTTGCTGAGCCTTTACCACTGCCCACCCCAGCTACCCATACCCAGCTGTGTGCACACCAGAGCACAGATCAACCGCAAAGATCCTTAGGCACTGGGGTTTGGTTTTCCAGCCTCAGCAGGACCACCAGAGGTCAGAGCCTCAGAGCAACCCTGGCTCAAACCAACAAAACTTCTCTTGTCCCACCATCCCAGATTAAGCTTGATCCCAGCCAACCTATACGGATAAGTGCTTTTGGACTTAGGCCAATTTTCCACATCCCCAGATCCTTACCCAGGACATAGATCTTGTTCCCGTTCAGGAAGGTGGAGGCCCCGTAGCAGGGTGTGGGCATCGAGGGCAGCGAAAGCCAGCAGTCCCGGCGGGGTTCATACACCCGAACCTGGGCCTGGGGGGTTGTGTCAGGGCCCATTCCCCCCAGTGCATACACCATACCATCTGCAGAGAAAAGAGTAATACAGACTATCCCTGGGCCTGGCCACAGCACTCCACCCTGACAACAGCCCTGGTCAGGCCTGGAGGTGGCTTAGGACAAACCTATTTATGGTACCCCTCCCTGGCAGCAGAAACCCTCCTGCCTGCCTGGAGTGGGGCCTGGGAGAGCTAGGATTCTCACTCTGGCCAGGGCCCCTTCAAGTGAAGAGCAGGAGGCAGCCAATCTAATTATAAGCCGTCTCTGTCTCCCTGGAGACGCTATGGCAACCACATCTGGCATCCAAGCAGGACTGGTGGTCAGACCTGGAGGCCACAATGTAGGGACTCTCATGGGGGAAGGAGGGTGGGGGCCATATGGAGATCTGTTCAGCATGGAGCTCAGACTGGGGAGGGGGCTCTGGGGATCAGCTGGGGGGCTGGGAGAGGAGCTTGGGCCTGCAGGATGGAGGTGCTGTCCACAAGCCTTCTGCCAGCACTTCTGTACCCTGCCCTTTCACTAGAGTAGGTTCTTGCCCTGTTATACTCTCAGGGTCAGCTGGGGGCATGTGTGGGGGCCTTGGGCAGACAGCCAGTTAGCTAGGGGCTTCCATGGCAACTGCCTCCAGGCCAGCTTGGCTTTTGTCCATCTCAGTCTCCCTTGTTTGTTTGTGTGGTGTGAGGAATTTAAGCACTTGCCGGGCTCTGAGCCAAGGCCCTGCTCCCATCCCCCTCTCCCAGACTATTTATAACTGTGGGAGTCATTGGGCCACCCCTCCTTGTCTCTCACAGAGGAGGAATGGGGCAGGGAGGTGGCTTGGACCTCCCATCATGCTGGTGGCTAGCCTGGGCTCTGACTCCCACCTCACAGCTGGAAAAGGCAGTTTAGGCTGCTGCTAGCCCAGCTCAGAGCTAGGTAGGGAAGGGTACAAGAAACAAAGCCATGTCCAGGGCACCCAGGCAAAATTTACAGCTCTTGCCCAATCTCTGAAGGTAAGGGACCAAGTCAGGAAAGAATGGAGGGTGTTGGGGCACCTGAGGGACCTTCCTTGGGAGGCCACTCACCTCTCTCCACAGTTGCAACCCCCATGGCTGCCTGAGGTAGGGTGGCCCGACGCTCCCAGCGGCCCTCGTCAGCCAGGAAGGCCTCCACGGCAGCTACCGGGCTCTGGCCCTCATCCACACCGCCCACCACTAGCACCTGCTTGCCCAGTACCACAGCAGCTGCACCAGCCCGGGCAGTGGGCAGGGGCGCCAGTGCCAGCCACGTATGTGAGGCCATGTCCAATGTCTCGGCAGTGTCCAAAGGCAGTCCAGCTCGGCCACAGCCCCCCAACACTAGCAGGTGCCCATCCTGGTATGCCACTGTACCATATACCCGGCAGGTGGGCATGGGTGGGAACACCTGCCAAGCAAAGGCCCGGCCACCTCCTGTAGCCATGGTGTTCACCTCCAGTGGCAGGCCATGCTATCTGCTCAGGCTGCAGACCTCACTGAAGGGCATGATGGGGCCACATCTTGACTCTACCAGGGCTACAAGGGAGTGTGGGGCCAGTCCAAGGACTTTGCTTTCACCTAGAGAAAAGAGGGAAAACAAAGGGTCAGAGCCACTGACCAGCCCCTCAGGGTACAGATGAGCAGCCTGGCCCAAAATTGCTGGTGGGAAAAGCAGAGGGAAGACACACCTCCACTGCCTAGCACACTGATGTGGAGGTCCTCCTGGAGTGGGAAGGAGGGCAGTCTCCCAGTTACCCAGGCAACTTCCCAACTTGCTATGGGGCTTGAGGGATTCTCCTCCCATACCTTGCCCTCACCTAGTTGCTCCCCGGTTGAATCTAGGTCTAGGTGGGAGGTAAGGTGACTAGAATAGGACTTTCCACCCTAGCCCCCTTCCCTTTGCCTCAACAATCCTCACCCTGGTGCTCTGCATCAGTGGAGTTTTACTGTACCCTCCCCCTTACTGGCTTCCAGTGTGCTCTGGGCAGCCATCAGGGTCTCCAACCTGCTGCCAGGGATCAGAGTCCAGGGTATCCTTAAAACCCCTTTGGGAGCCATTCCATAGACTGCATCCATTCCCACCAGCAAAGGCCAAGATCAGGGTGTTTGAGACTGGGAGGGGAGGGGCTGGAGGCCAGAGTCCCACATTTCCCCTCAAGATCTACCCTCAGGGGTTTGCCCATGCCAAGTCCCCAGAGGCCTGCCTTCTTGGTGTCTGGGACGGGGAGGGGGATGATTTTTGGGAACTCACGAGCACTGGACTCTAGGTTCCCAGAGTCCAGGGCGTTGCCAGCAGAAATGGGCAGCTGGACTTCACAGATTCCAAGTTCCCTGGCTTCTCCTTTCCCGCGGGGAGGCACGCTCCTGGGACCCCTGGCGCGAGGGCCTTCTGGCGCGAGGGCCTCCCGGCCCCAAACTTCCAGCTCGCGGAAGGGGGGGCGGGTCCGAGCGAGCGCGCTTGGGGCTCTACACCCCGCGCCCTAAACTTCCCCTGAGCGCGGCTCCCGCGGGACTCACCGGCCGGGGCTCCGGCGCCGCCGGGGCGCAGGGTCCGCGGTTCCGGTTCCGCTGGTGCCTGATCTGGCTGGGTCTGAGGCCGGGCTCCGGCGGGGCTCCGGTGGGGCTCCGGCGGGGCTCCGGCGGGGCTCCGGCTCTTCTCCGGCGCGGGGCGGGGCTGGACAGGGTCCGCCCCTCGTCCCCCCTCCCGACTCGGGAAAACCTCCCCCCTGCTTTAACCCCGCACCTGCCGTGGCCGGAGCAGGGCGCGCCGACCCATGGTCACACGGAAACCGGTGAACAGACAGACGGACATGTGGACGCTGAGCCTGCCCAGGATTTGGGGTCCGACCTCGGACTGGGGGAGAAAGGAAGAAGCGGTGGGCCGCACGACACGTGTATGGTGGGGGCCGTTCTCAGCAGGACCCAGCCTGCGAGCACCGGCGAAGGGGCGGGCCAGCAGAACCTGGGGGCTTGAGAAGCGGGCGCCTGCCCACCACCGCTGCGCTCCGAAGAGCCCACGACAGGCTTCGCGGCGGCGCCCCCTGGAGGCCTCTTAGGGTATGTCCTGGGCCTTTGGTGGGGGTAATGGTTCGGTCGCCCTTCCCCAAGCACTGATGAGGGCACAGAACAGGTTCTGTGGTGCACATTGAGGGTAGCAGAGGGTGGAGGAGCAGAAAGTGCCAGCCCCCGTACTTGACAGGCCCTTCCACAGGCATGGGTGGGGGCAATTTTTGTGGGGGAGGGTAACAGAGCAGGTGATGAAGAGTCAGAGGCCAGGGGACCTCCCAGGCAGGTCACTCTGGGCTTATTCTGCAGGGCCTGAGGCCTGGGCTACTCTGGGACCCAAGGCACTTTGTGACTGTCCATCTTCAGGGTCCTGGGCCTGCCTCTAGCCAACTCCGGGGTCAGGCAAGAACAAGTTGGTGTGACAGAGGCAGACCTACCTCAGACCCAGACCCTGGCCCATCCTATCTTCTGAGCATCAAGAGTACTGGCTAAGTCTGTGAGCTAGGGGCCCATTTGTACAGGTCAGTGGTCACCTATGAGAAGAAGTCCTCGTGATTGTGCTTGCTACCATTTGTCCCTCTTTCATGGACAGCGTCTGCCTCACTTTCTCCAGAAGCACACCAGGAGACTGAGATACAAGTGCATATAGTTAATGTGGGAGATGAGGACAAGAAGCACCAGTAGAGGAGTGGCAAGAAGACAGGGAAAGCAGCCAATAAAGGGGTGTGTCATCAAACAAGTTCCCACTGTGAGCAACAAGGACCAAATCCTGCTGGGGACTCTGGGAGCCATTGTAGAACATGGGCCTCACATTATTGTTCCCATCAGAGCAAGGGAATGCTAAGGTATTCATTCTCAAATCTCCATCAGTCATGGGTTGAGAGCAACTTGGAGACATGAATACCCTAGCCTGCCTGACTTCTGGCCAGCCTAGAGTGTGGGCAGAGCATTCTGACCAGAGAGGGAGTCTTCAGTCCCTTTCAGGGGCTGGCAGATGGAGTTGGACGGCCCGCATGGAAATGGTGCCAAGGCTGGTTGCAGATCCTGGCTAGAAGGCTTTCATCCTCCCACTCCACTCTGCCCCCAACATGCTCCTCAGTTAGGCCAGTCACTGGTACTTTCCTCCATAGGGTATTCACACTGTCCTGCAGACCCCCTCACACTTCCCACTGTTCCCTTTCCAGGCCCCTTCCCCTCTCCTTTCCAGTAATTAAGCACATAAAAGCCTTTAGATACCTCCCAGCACCCCAAGTCCTTCCATTGTTCCCTTCCTTCCAGTCAAACTCTTGAAGTCATCTTCTCTCACAGTTTCCATTGCCTTGGTGTTGGCCATCTTATATTTGCTACCACTGCTCCCCAAAACTTGGTATTGCCAAAGTCACCATGGAACACCATATAGCTAAAATGGGGCAGGGTGGGGCGGCTATCGTCTTTTTCTCAACTGAAATCTTTCTGGCCTCTTCAAAGCCTCACCCACCCTTGTGACCTTGGCTTCCTCCTGCTGCTTGTCCTGCCCCTCGGAGGCTTTTACAGGCCCTGCTTCCTCTCCTTCCCCAGGAAGTGCCTCCTCAACACCCAGCCTTGGCTTTTCTCCCTGGTACATAGACTCCCTCCTGGGGTGATCTCTCCAAGGCCACTGGCCTCACTCACATCTAGATCTTCACCAGATCTCTCTGCTCAGGTGGATATGGGTCTAGGGTCCATCACTAAGGGATATAAAAGATGCCAAATAGAGAGGAAGGGCTGGATCCTGGGACGGCCCTGTGGTCTCTCCAACCTCATCTCATCTGATCCCAGTTATGCCTGGGATGGTCAGCATCCACCAAAGTCCAGGTCAAGTCAGACTTGGCCCTGATTAATGATCCCAGAGAGTTCCATCTGGGACATTCTGGGTACCAAGAGGCAAAAGGATCAGCCTCCCCTCAGGAAGCTAGGTACCCCAGACCATTTCCCTGAACCCATATCATCCCCACAGTTCTAATGTGTGGAAGGGACACAGACTAGGGATGGACCTACCTTTTTTTGTCTTCCACTTTGCACTGACCTCTAGGCTGGACATCACCAGAGAGGTATCCTCTTTCCAGGACACACCTAGGCCCATGTCATCCCTGGAGGCTGGACTCTGCTTCTTCATGGAAGTGGCTTCTGTTTACACAGGCCTGGCCCCACCTGCACATGGGGGGCCAACACTGCTGGCTTTAGAGAAGCTATAGAAGACAACTTGGGCAGAAGATGAGGCTGGATTGGTCCTAAGAGTGAACAACTAATCCTCAACCATGGATGGGGCAGAGATGGGGCTCACCCTCAGTTGGGAACTGGGAGTGCTAAGGTGGGACTTCCTGATTGCAACCCCGCGACCCTGGCCCTTGAGACCCCATCCTTCCCTTCTCTCTACCAATACAAGGGGCCAGAAGCATTGACCCCAGAGGAGCAGGAGAGTTTGCATTTCCTGCTGGATATCTTGGCTATGCTTAAAGGCACTGAGGACCCCACCATCAGGGCTGAGGCCCTGAGAAGCTCAGGTGCACAAGGTGAGGCCTAGGGTGGGGTGAGTGTTTCTCTCTAGGGGTGCCCAGACCCCTCTGTAGAGGCAGGGAAGCATAGATCAGGTAGAGGATCCTGGGGTTTTATGGGGAGTGAGGAGGGCTATCAACCAGTCCCCAAATGAAGCATCCAGTCACACTCTGTGACTGCCCATAGGCTTCCACCTGCCCCCCAGCTACCAAATTTACACCACTGTACATGTCAGGTCCAAGAGTTATGACAATATTTTTGCCTCTTAGCTCAGGCTCTGACCCAAGTACAGATGCCCCCACCATCTCATCCATGAAACCAGGACTTCCAGGTTGACTCCCAACCTGGAGTTGGGGGCCCTTGACCAAGAAGTGCCTTTGGTCAGAGCAATAGAGACCATTCTGACCCTTTAGACTCCTAAGGTTAATTTTTACCTACATTCTCTCATCTGATGCTGCTTGGGTAGTGAGCCCTGTAACCGTCACCTCTCTGCTGGCCCCAGGGTACATGTGGAAAGACTGTACAGGTGGAAAGAAGTCCCAATCTCTTAGGCCAAAAAGCAGGGATTTGGGGAAGAGTTAAGACTTTAGGGAGGGCTTTCTGCCACTGAGGGAGCTAAGGCTGGACCAGGGTCCTCCCACCACACCTGTGGGCATGCTCCTAAGCAAGTACACTCAGGCCCACACTGGTATGCTGGGACTCTCAGATTGGACATGCCCAGCTTTGGGCTTATTTGCCACAAATGTGTGCAAACCAGCCTTTCATACCACATGCAGTGAGCCCACTCTCAGGAATAGGGGAAGGCCTGCTGCCCTCAGAGGAGGTACAAAGAGGCTCCCGAGGGACACTCTCAGGCAGGGCGCACTCCTCTTTCACCCTCTGTTCAGGCACCTGGGACAGAGGTGGGCCTTGCCAGTGGCTGCGGGAGGACTAAAAGGGTGAAGGATAGCTTGGACCTTGCCAAAAATCCCTCCCACATGTCGTTACACCATCAAGCCCCTCAGAGAAGGTGTCAGACGAGCCCCTAATCCAATGCTAGTCTGGTGCAGTCTTGCCTGGGGCAGCGGCCGAAAGCGCCTCTGCCCCTCACACTCCTGCACAGGTCCGCAAGGGTTTAGAGCGGTCCCCTCTGCCACCTCCTCCAGGAAGTCTTCTCTGGTTTCCGCTTGTCCAGCCCCCAGACTTTGGGGGAAACGGGGTCTCGGGGGGTCAAGGGTCACTAGGGCGGGCCAGGTCCCGGAAGCGGAAGCGCGGCGCACTTCCGGTGCGCAGCAGGCGGCCATGTTGGAGCAGCGGAGGCGGCGCAGAGGCGCGTCCAGGGTCCCCGCGGCGGCGCCGGTAGGTTGGGGCCGTGGGCCTAGCCACGCCGCGGAGGGGTCGTCCGCGAGGCGGCAGGGTGGATGGGCCGGGTGGCCGGCTCCTTCGGGACCAGCGCCCTCCGCCGGCCCGGCCGAGACCCCCAACCCCCACCCCGTGCCCAAAGACCCCACCCTGGGGCTGTGCGACCCCGTCGCGCTCTCACCGCCTGTCCCGTGCATTTCGCTTCCTCTAAGGCCCCCCGCTCCTACCGTCGGCTTGGGTCTCAGGGACGCGGACTCCCAGCCTGAGGGCCCTGATCTGCCCCCGCCCCAGTTTCGCTTGGTTAGGGCCGCTCCCGTCCTGCATCTTTTCATCAGCTTCCCCGGCCTGCCCCGGGGACACTTGTGAAGGGAAGTCAGGGGTCGGGCTGCAGTCTCTGTTTTCCGGAGCCTCTTGGAAAGCCCAGGAGACCCCTCCCAAGGGCCCAGGCCGACCTGAGCGGAAGAGCCCCGAGTTCACCCCCAATATCTGTGCCTGGAGGTAACAGGTTCCTCCTTATTGTACAGTTCACAGCCCTGGGAACTACACCCCTTGGGAAAAAAGAGAACTAAAGTCATGTGTAAGGACTGTACTTGGAGAATGGCCTCTGGAGAGGGGAAGTGCCCGAGACACCTGAGGATCCAACAATGTTTCCAAACAAAGAGCCTCAGGGCACTTCCTCCAGGGAATTCTGAAAACTTCTGCTCCACTAGGGGGAGGAAGAAGCTGCACAGACTCACCTCTTGGCCCCAGAGACTTGCCTGATCCCAGCTGATCTTTTAATTCTCCTGTGCAGCTGCGGAGCTGTCTCTGGGACCCCTCAGTGATGGGTTAGACTAGATGTTAGTCATGATTGATGGCCTACAGCTTTTAAAGAGAAGCCTGGGACAACTTGGGTCTTCCCAGACAGCTCTAAATGGGCTGTACCAAAGTCGTCTTCCAAGCCCTAGTTAGGACAGTTCAGATCTCTAGGGTCCGCTTTATTAACCATCTTACTCGGAGTCATTGGCTCCCAGACCTTGGGCTCTTGGTCTGGCTGCCTGGCGCCAGGCTGCCTGATTGCCTAGAGATGTATTATTAGTACCTGCTACTCATCTTTTTAGTTTCTGTTGAAGGAGAGTCTGGCTTTTTCCCTGGGGTTGGTCTCCATGGCTCTAGTGCTAGGAATTGGACCTCTGAGTGGACTGTCTGGGAACTCTGAAAGCAGAACTTCTGGTGGGCAGGGAGGTCCACCCCTGGGCACCTGAACAGCAGCAGCTGTAGGAACAGAGATCTTCATGGACTTTGGATGTAAGTCTGGGCCCTTTGGCCAGCATTCAAGGAACATTCAAAGCTTGTATTACCCTGCTGTCCCCTGTTTTTCCAGCTAGACCTCCCAGCCCTGACCACAGATTCCAGTCACACCAAGTTTGCCTTACTCTTTCTCACTTTGGAGCCATTGCATTGGCTGTTGCCCTTTTTGCTCCATCTCCATCTGGTCCTTTCCTATTCATCATTCATGTCCCACATGAATATTCCTCTCCCGGGAATGCTTCCCTTACCCATTGGCAAGCTGAGCTGTGTGCCAGTGTGCATTCCCAAGAACCTTGAGGGTATCTCTATCTTGCCTTCTGTACAGGGCTCCTGGAAGACAGAGATATTTGCCTGTATTCCCAGTGTTGAGTCTAATACTAGGAATTTGGCCAAGCCCAGATCTTTCCAGGGGCCCGTCAGCAGGTTGGATGGCTCTGATGAGCTTATGGGCATGTATCCTGAAGAAGCTGCCTCTGACCCATATGAGTCCCCCACCTCTACCCCACCACCCTCCACCGTGATAGGTGGAGAAGACCAGGGTTTTGCCCCAAGGAGTGGCTCACTCTGGCCAGGCTCCTCTGTGTCAATAGATGTTATTGTGAAGATTGCTGGCCCTGATTGACCTATCTACCGGTCCTGGCCCCCGTCTCGGTGCTGTTCTTATTGACTCTTCCTTTTGCCTTGGAGGTGCCAAGCGCTGGTTTGCGGATACCCAGGCAGATCTGCAGTGCCTAATGCCATGAGCGTGGTGGTGCAGCATGTGGAGGAGAAAGCTGTGCACTCCTGGTCACGGATCTCCACGGCAGGGAAGAAGGCCCTGGAGGAAGCGCTGCTTGTCTTTAACCCCATGAGCCAGGATCTCAGTGCCACTGAGGCCCAGCTTGTGGCCTTCCTGCAGGGCCTGCGGGATGATGGCTTCCAACCTACCATCCTGCGCAGCGGTGATGTCTATGGCTATAGTTCGTGCACAGCCAACCCCCCAAGCCAGACAAAGCTTCAAGCTCGTGCCCCCACCCCAGCTGCCACATCACCTCCAGCCAGTGCTCCCCGAACTGCCATGCGGCTGCCTGCAGGCCGGGCCACGCTGCTCCCCATGCCACTGTCTGGCAGGCTGGCCAAAGCATCCACACCAGCCCTCGCCAAGCATGCCACCACCAACCTGCTACTGAGCTCCCTGAAGCAGTCAAGTGCCAGCCGTGCCCGGGGTGCAGCAGTGGGCTTTCCCACCCACCTCTATCCAGGTGTCTACCCTGCCATGCGGCTTTCCGTTGTCCTTGAGGCCCTGGTTCCACTCAAGACTCCCATGCCCTGCTTGGGTGCCAAGCACAAGGCACAGTCACTGCAGCTCTCACTTGCAACCTCTCCCCTGAAGCTGCGGAAAGGTCCAGGGAAGAGGCTGGGGAATTCCCAGCCCAAAGCTCCCAGAAAAGCCACAAGCAAGGCCTCCAAGTGTCTGACTCGAAGAGGCCCCAGGGCTGGACCCCGACAAGGCACTGGGCCCCAGAGCAAGACCTACAAAGCCTCTGGTTCCCTCAGTGGCCCACGAATGAAAGGTGGCTGTGCTCTGGGCACCAAAACAGCCCAGGCCAAAGCTTCCCGTGCCCAGGCCAAGGTGGCTCGAACACAAGCCAAAGCTGCCAAGGCCCGGGCAGAAGCCAAGGCAGCACGGATCAAGGCCAAGGCCAAAGCCAAGGCAGTGCGGGCCAAGGCTAAGGCCAAGGCAGTGCAGGCCAGGGCCAAGGCCAGGGCAGTGCGGGCCAGGGCCAAGGCCAGGGCAGTGCGGGCCAGGGCCAAGGCCAAGGCAGTGCGGGCCAGGGCCAAGGCCAAGGCAGTGCGGGCCAGGGCCAAGGCCAAGGCAGTGCGGGCCAGGGCCAAGGTGGCTCGGACCCATCCCAGGGGCAGGGGCAGGCCAAAAAGGTCTGTTCAGGCCAGGACTGCAAGGAGAGGCCGGAAAAGCTGCCCTGAGCCTGTGGGACAGAAGAGGAAAAGGACTGAGGAGGCAAAGGATCTTCCTCCCCAGAAGAGAACACGGCTTGGGCCCCAATCCCCTAAGGTATGGCTAGGACCTGGAACGGCAAAGCTGCTGAAATTCCGGGCCATCAAGGTGGACAGGCGGTCCTCAGATGATGAGGTGCGGCTGCAGGCTCAACGGATCCTCCGTGTGAACCTTTCCCCTGTAATACGACTTCAGCCATTGTTGCCATACTCAGCACCCTGATTCCTTCACGTAGCAACGTTTGGGGAAACTGAGCCCAGTTGTCTGTGTGGCCAGTGGCACAGTGTGCAATGCCCATGGATTCCACAACCCTAAAGACTCTGGGTGCCTCTCCAGGGCCCTGAGAGCCACCAGCCTCCTTTCAGAGACTGGAGGATGTGGGGTGGGGTGGGCGGGTGGGAGGGATGGTGTCATGGCGCGATGCACTGTGACTTGTTACTCTTCAAGTTGTATGTCCACTATTCCATCTATCACGTTTTATACCTTTCCACCTTCCAGTCTCCCTGCCCACACTCCATGGTCTTTTTTTGTATATGTGACTGCTGGTAGGCCAGCTTGGGTGTTTAGAAAAGGTAGCCCCAGGAACAGGAATGCCAGAGAGGGTCCTGGTAGCCCAGGGAAGGTCATGAATGTGAGTGATGGGCAGCCTCCAGGCCCCTGAGGGCAGGGGCAGAGCCACTCTAAGGTGGGACACCTCCCCTTGGGGCTGCCCTGGTTTGATAATCCGGATGCTCCCTTGGAGGAGGACAATAGGTGGCTCTGTGGGGAAACTTGCAGCCTGCAGGTTTTTAGGCCAGGGAAGGGGAGGTGCAGACAGCCTGGCCTTGTCTTCCAGTCTACTCTGGCTGAAACCTTGGAGCTTTGTGTGGGCTTGTCTGGGGCAGGGCGGGGCCTAAATCGGCTGAAGTACTTCTGCCTACTATTTTCTCTGCTTCTTTCAGGAGAGGGACTATCGTCGACTTCCCCAGTTGGTGGCAAGGGGTTGGGGCTTGAGTCAGGGGCCAGGGTAGCTCTGGGTTGTAGGGCCACAGAGTCCCCTCACTGACCAAGGAATTATATTGGATGGGTGGAGTGCTGCGGTCTCTGAGCATGGAGAGTTTCCACACTGCCTCTCAGTGCTTTCTGCCTGGGTTCCAAGTGCTCTATTCCCAGGTCCAGCCTCAGCATGTCTTCCAACAGGGGCCTGTATGTTCAGACATTATTGGTTCTTCCTGCTTTGGAGAGGGGACAGAGCCCTGAGCCCTGAACAAAAGTAGCTCCCTGCCCATCTGCCAATCCATCACTGTCTGCCCAGCCTGAAAGGCAGTGGCTGGGGCTGGCGGGGAGGGGGATACATTCCCCAGAGGCTCCTGGAGACGAACAGCCTTTCAGAGCTAGGGGTGGAAGCCTCATTTGAATGAGAATTGGATCTTTTCTGTCTCTGAGGGTTAGTCTGAACCCTGGCTGCACCAGCAGCAGCTGCGTTGGATGGCGGACCTATAGAGAAACTCTGCTCCTCCCCACCTTTCTTCTGCATCTGGTGACTGCTATTAATATCCTTTCCCTGGGCACGGCCTCTCTTTGTTTCCCAGACTCTGGGGACACCCCCCCTGCCCCTTCTCCCAGCTGCACCATGACTCCACAACCATGCATGCTCCTTGCCTCTGGCATCCTTGAGTTCATCTACCATGTGAGTATGGGGAAGGACCTGAGGGCCACACTCAGATCCTTAAGGGCAGCCCAGCTAGGGGCACACTCTGTATTCTCTCTCTCTGGCCTGATTCTAGCTCCGACAGCCCAGGACCCCCAGCCGGGCGAGCCCCCCCTTTCAGCTCTGCTGCTGCCACTACCAATGAGTGAGAGGTGGTCTCTACCTGAGAGCCACGTGGAGGGGGAGAGGAAATCATCGGGCCTCCCTGTGGGATGGGGTGAGGTGGGGCGCGTACCCCTAGGATCTCTATACTCAGACCCTGCCCCTCCCAGTCGAGGCTCCCAGAGCAACTGCCCGGGACGTGCCAGACAAACTTCCTCCACCCGGCTGCTCAGGCGGCAGCTGCTACCCACCTACCAGCAACCTGATTATTGGCTGTGGCCAGAACCTTCGAACCTCATCCACCTGTGGCCTCCATGGCCCTGAACTCTACTGCATTGTCAGTAACCTACAGGTAGGGAGGAGGGTACGGGCTCTGGAGATGGCATCTTGGATTTTCTTGGGCAGGTTCAGCACCTGTGGGAGTTCAGGTCATTGACAAGACCCAGAGGGAGAGGCCTGTGCTGTGAAATTTTGGAGGGGGTTGTGGCCAACCAGGCACCTCCTGCCTAGTCAGTCTCATTGGGCATCCCTCCAGGATGCTGAGAATTGCTTCTTTTGTGACTCTCGGGACTGGAAAAGCCATGGCATTGAGAACGTGATCTCCCAGAGTAGTCCTGGCAGCAAAAGGACCTGGTGGCGAGCAGAGCGTGGTGAGGGTCCTTGTGTGCCCATGTGTGCAGGGCTGGGATCAGGGTCAAGGCCTGGCCACTGACCAGCCCTTATGGTTACAGGTGTTGAGAATGTCACCAGCTGGACCTAGAAGATGCCTTTTACTTTACCCACCTCATCAGGACTTTCAAGGTGACCCACTGCCAGAGACTGAAAGCTTATTCTCTGCCTCCTGACCTGATGGCCACCGGTGATGTTTGCCACTGGTGACCCAAGGACCCCCTCCTATCCCCAGACATTCTGGCTCTGCTCCTTGAGCTCTCAGTGGACCATGGCCACTTCTGGCACATGTACCGCTACTTTGCCCACAACTGCTTAGGCCTCTTTCCTGGGATTCCTCTTGCCCCTGGCCACAGAGTCAGTGACCTCATCTGTGAGCAGCATTACTTAAGACATCGAGACTTCCACTGAGGGAGAGGTCAGGCCCAGAGGAAGGGGGGTTAGGCCCTGGGATGAAGCCAGAAGCTCAGGCTTGCTTCTTAGGTAATTTCAAAGTTCTGGATCCAGCCATTCTCGTGGAGAACCCAAATAATACCAAGGTTCAGGGTAATTATCCCCACAGCCAGTCCTGTACTCCTTTTTTGGGAAAACCAGATACCCCCTGGTGGGAAGTGAGGTCCTACCTGGGTATGCGCACCGCAGGGCAGGGTGGTGGGCAAGCCAGCCCAGTCCCCCAAGGATTGTTTCCCAGCTCTGCTGCATTATGGTCCCTGTTACGGCTCCCCATTCCTGTCCCATGTTCCCCATACCTGTGCCCAGTGCATAGGGACTGGCCTGGGTAGCAGTTTTCATCTCTGTCCCTTATCTCTGCCCCATCGCTGAATTCCTTTGTGAGACCCCATTGTGGTCATCACTGCTGGCCATGCCAGCCCAATCTTTGTCCCCCACCTCTGCTCCTATCACACTGTACCTCATAACTCTCCCCTTTGTGAGCCACTGTCACTGTTCCCCATCACGGCCCCCTGTCTGCCCTCCCCACTTTGATTCATCACCCTGGCCTTGATTGGTACCCTGCGTTCCTGAAGCTGCCTCCAGGTGGCGCCAGGGCGTCTCTGGGTGTGACCTCTTCCTTGTAAAACAGAAGTCTTGTTAAAGGACTAGAGAGACATAATCATAACCCAGCAGGGCAGCCCAGAGCCAGGCCAGGAGAGTACCAGAGCAGGAGGACAAACCCCAAAGTAGCTTTTTCTCTACATTCCACGTTCTCCACCCACCTTGACTTCGATTATTACCAACTACTTACCCTGAGCATGCGTGCACACACACGACCCACCCCCCCCTGCCCCCGGCCTTACTAGGGCCTAGAGCAGCTGTTGTGTGTTCCTCTGATCAAGAGAAAGGGGAGCTCTGGCAAAGAGATACAGGAGGTGGCCTCGGCTTGGTAGCTGACTTAAGCTGTGAGGAGCAAGAGGAGCCATGGCCCCATCTTTCCATCCATGTGTACATTTAACAAGTGCCCATGGAGCCCCACTGTGTGCCAGGCATCTTCTGGGCCTTGCTCAGTGGTGAGCAGATAGACAAGTTATCTGTCTTGGAGCTGACATAGAAATGAGAAAGGCAGTCAATAAATAAACATACCTTATGTGGTTTGGCTGGATAATAAGCTGATTTCTAATGATGGGCTGGGGACTGGAATCCTTTACTGCCTTAGGGAAGCAGGTTTCCAATATCTAGAGATACCAGAAAGGGGTGTCCAGGAAGCAGTGGGATATGCAGGTCTCAGCTCAGGAGTGATATCAGGTCTGGAGCAGTGCAGAGGTGGGATAATCACCATTAGGCTGTGGTCATCCTAAAATGGTATAATCAGGGGAGCAGGGATGGGAGAGTCCTACAGCATGGGTGCTGGAGGAGGTGGCTGCAATGATGTAGAGAGGGGAGAGACCCCCACCAATTCCTTCTCTATCTCAGCCATAGAGGGGTAACAACCAGTGTACCTGAGGGCTCTCGATCTGTCTCCAGAGCTCCTGCATGTGACTAACCTCCGTGCGAACTTCAAACTGCACACACTGGGTGACAGGCCCCAGGGGGGCTTCAAGGGACACCCCTTCTACTACTATGCCCTCTGAGCTTGTGGTCCAAGGCAGCTGCCTGTGCCATGGCCATGCCTCTGAGTACAGGCCTGCACCGAGGGTCCCACCCAACATGGAAGGCATGGTGAGTACCGTAGGAGGGGCATCCTGTGGCTGGTGGGAGGGCAAGCTGGGGGACTGGGGTAGACTCGTCTTGCCCTCCTCCCTGCCAGGTGCGTGGCCTTTGTGTCTGCTGCCACCACAGAGCTGGTACCCACCGTGAGCACTGCCAGGACCTGCACCAGGACCACCCATGGCAGGCAGCAGAGCCTGGGCACCCCCATGCCTGCCAGGCCAGCCCACTCCATATCCACCTACCTTGTTCTGCTCCAGAATGTGAGTGTCATGGGCATGCCCACAGTTGTCACTTTGACATGGCCCTGTATCTCGCATCTAGCAATGTGAGTGGAGGTGTGTGTGATGCATGTCAACACAAGACACCTGGGTGCCGCTGTGAGCTCTGCCAGCCCTTCTTCCACCGAGATCCCAGGGAGGCTCCCTGCTCCCTTCACTCCTGCAAACGTGAGCCCTCCAACCCCCAATCCTAATTCTGACCCTGTTCCTTCAGTTTCAATGGTGACCTCTGACCTGACTCTGTCCACACTTCTGACCCCTGATCTAGCCTGTGACTGCAACCCTTTGGGTGCCCTGAAAAGTGGTTTGTGTGATGCCCACACAGATGAAACCTCGGGCCTCCTCTCTGGGCAGTATCGCTGCAAAGTTCACGTGTGGGGCCAGTGCTGTGACTCCTCTGGCCTGGTCACTACGGCCTGAGCTCGCAGTCAAAGGGCTGCCAGTGTGAGTGACCCTCAGAGTGGACCCCCACCACCAGGTCCTCCTTGCTCTGCCCCCAATTACTGCCCTAATAACGCATGCACCTACCTACCCCTGCAGCACTCATTAGCACCCTGACAGCCCTGTGCCTTAGCCTGCAGGTGCAATCCCCGGGGCTGCATCCCTGGCACTCATGCCTGTGATCTCTCCAGTGGTGCCTATCACTGCAAACGCCTTGTCTCTGGATGGGACTGCAGCCGTTGTCTGGTGAGGTTTGACCTGCCTTCTGATTTGACCTTGATTTTGGGTGCTGGGCTCCTAGAAGCTGACAAGTACAAGGTTGTAATCAGTGTGACTGCAGACTAAGCCTTGCTGGTGGGTTGGTGCCACTTCCTGATCTGGTCACTAGAGTCAGTGCCACCTTGGCTAGCTGAACCAGCACATGCCCTCAGGTGGGAGCTTTGGGAACAAAAGAAAGAAAAGCATTTAAAAGAGCTACAACAGTATTATGCGCTGAATTTAAAGGTGTTTCACAGCAAAAGTGTTTGAAGGGACACTCAGCGTATCCCCTTCTTGCCTCTCCTTGAACATTACAAATCCTTTGTTTAACTTTTATTTTACCCCTGGCTGTGACCTCATCTTCTTACCTCTTACCTCCCCTCCATGAAGCCGTGCAGGAGTACACCAGGGTCTCCTCTCCACTTCTCAGCCAGAGGCAGAAGAGCATTAAAGCCCTGGGCTCACCCTTGCTTCTTCCTGCAATGAGCAGTCCCAGCATATAGCCTTCCAGGCTCCTGACCCTCCTCTCCTTGCCCAGGTCTTCTTGTCCTTTCTCCACCCACCTACTCTCTCTTATAGCCCAACTTCTGGGGTCTGAGTAGTGACTCTCTAGGCTGTCGGCCCTGTGACTGTGACTTTGGGGGTACAAGGCAGGGACTGGGGGTCCAGGTCAAGGGACAAGAATTGGGAGTTGACTCTGTCCCGTCCCCACCCCTACGCTGGCTCAGGTGTTCTGCAAGGGAGGGCCTCTGCCTCTGCCGTCCCCACCTCTGTCTCCACCACTGCTGTGAACACTGGTCTGGGTACTTCTGTGCTGGCCTCGACCAGGCCACTACTGAAGCTGAGCTTGGTCTGGGCCTCCAGCCTGCTGACCCCCAGCTGCTTGTGAGTGTCCAGGAAGGGCAGGGGCAGGAGGAAATCAAGGCTCACACCTTGGTGCTCAGGGGAGGGAGAGAGTGTCCAGAGAGAGCTAGTTGGAAGAAGAGGCCAGACAGGGTTAGGAAGGTGAGGCAGGTCCAAGTGAGGCAGCATCAGCATGGTCAGAAGTTTGGTGTCTTGGATGGAGTCCATATTCCCAGGACAGGGAATTCCCTGGCAATCCTGTGGTTAGGACTCCTAGCTCTCACTGCCTCGGGCGAGGGTTTGATCCCTGCTCGGGGAAGTAGGATCCCACAAGCTGCACGGCGCGGACAAAAAAATCCTCACCCAGGACAGTGTGGGAGGACACTGACACCTGACTTGCCCACAGGGAGCCCCCGAGCCTGCTCCTCCTCACTGTACACAAGCCCCAGGGACCTCCCCTGGTTGGCTCAGGCCCCGACTTCAGAGACAGTGTGTCCCTCGATATGCCTCCACCCTGCCAGGTGAGCCTGTTACAAATACCAGCTGCCCAAGGTAAGGAGTGTGAGGAACAGGGTTGGGTCACAGGCCACTAGGTCTTAGTTGGGATGGGCCCAAGCCCTGGGGCTATGAGTCCCTGGGGTCTTAGAGGAATGGGAATCTAAATCCTGAGGGTCCTAGGTCCTGGAGTGGTCTGGACCTGGGAGTCAGTGTCTCACATCCAGGCCCCAAAGGAGCCCCTGCCCCTGCATCAGGGAGCTGGCTGTACACTGTGGACTGGCTCAGACTTTGCACGTGTGGTTGATGGGGCTGGCCTCTCTCTTCTGGCACCCATAGTGCCTTCTGCCCTGAAGTGTGACATTGTCCTACACTATGAGACCCAGGTCAGTAGCATGGGTGCCAGGCAGGTGGATGGGTGGTGCTGGGTGGTGGGTAGGGGCAGCTCTATGACCACTGACCCCTAACCCTAGGCACCTGAAGAGTGGCAGGCATTAGTCAGGGTCCATGCTCAATCCCAGCCCAGCAGTACCCGCTGTGCCCATCTGCTGCCCTCAGAGCAGCTGTTCCAGGTGGCCTTGACCCAGATACACAGGTAGGCTAGACCACATGACCCCTGTTATGTAGCCAACACATTCAAAGCAATACCCAAACAAAGTAGAAACCTTCCAATATGGAATACCATCATGTCATAGAACAATCAAAGCAGGGACCTAATTTAAAACAGGGCAGGGTTTAAGAAGTTGGTCTTTTTCCATTGGTTGTATGATGAAATGTTGGACCCCATATCTGCACAGTGGAAATGGGACATTCCTGGGACCACATGATCATGACCTCCTTACCCCACCCTGACTCCTCTCCCCCATCCCTGCAGAGCTGTGTTTCTATCCAGACTTTTCCACTTTGAACCTGGAACACGCTACTCCATGACCCTATGACTATGGCAGACCAAGGGGGTGCAGAGACCTGGGAGGGGGGCACCATCCTTCTGGATTCGGTGAGATCCTAGGGATTCCACCCCACATCTGGGTGGAGACACAAATTAGCAGGACAATATGGATGCAGTGGGCTCAGGGGACAGGGGATTGTGGAGACATAGAGTTGCACCAAGAGGATTGAGACAGGTGGAGAGTGTAGGGAGGGGGAATCAGGCAGGGGAAAAGCACATGCCAAGGATAGAAGGTGAGACTGGCAGGTGCCAGACCTCACAGGACCTTGTGGGCCAGGCGAAGGGCTTATCCTGGGGAAATGGGGAGCCCTGGAAGGGATTTGAGCAGGCAAGAGACATGGGGAGGATGGATTGTTAGGGGGAAGCTACTTCAATGATTCTGAATGAGAGGTGGCATTGCCTGGACTAGATCAGGGCTATTGGAGAGGAAGGAGAAACAGAATCAAAAGAGAAACAGGAAAGGGGTGGGAAGGGGCTGTGAGGGGCAACGTACAGAAGTTCCATTGTAGGTGTTAGTGAGTGGGACTGGGTTCACTACCCCCTGCCTTCCACCCTTTACCTTCCTAGTAGGTTGTGCTCCTGCCACAGGTGAAAGGGTTGCCTGGACTGAGGTCTGTGGACCCTGGCGCCACGGGGCACTTGCAGGAGCTCCACAAGGCGGGCTGCGTGGAGGCAGCGAGGATGAGCCTCTCCAGCACTATACCTGAGGCCTGTGCCCGCCTTGCCTGCAGCATCTCTGCCCTGTTCCAGGGGGGTGGCCTTGGTGAGTGTGTGGCCCTGGCTTGAGGGGGCTGAAGGATGGGGGTTGCAGGAGGCACCATGAGGTTCATCTGATCTTACCCTTTCTCCTGGCAGCATGTGAGTGCCACCCCCAGGGTTCACTGACCACCGAGTGTGCCCTGCTGGGTGGGCAGTGCTGCTGCCACCCTAACATTGATGGTCGTACCTGTGACCACTGCAGGCCTGGAACATGTGGCTTCCGGCCCACTGGCTGCCGTGGTGAGCCCTCAGGGCCAGTGGGTGTGGGGTCTGGGGTCTTGACAGGGCCCAATCAAGACAGGGTCTTGATTGCCCTGTCATTTCCCACAGAGTGCTGCTGCCACACCAAGGGTGCCACCAATGCCATTTGTAACCCTGTGAACGGGCAGTGCCCCTGTCGGGCAGGCCTTGCTGGTCGCTGCTGTGACCACTGCCTCTATGGCTGGTGGGGCTTCCCATGCTGCCAACCCTGTGCCTGCAGTGGAGCTGCTGAGTTGTGCCATCCACTCACAGGAGTCTGCCAGGACTGCCACGGGGCCACAATGGACCAGCACTGTGAGAGGTGAGGCTGCCACTGGAAGGGTTGGGGAGGGATCGTGATGAGTGGGCTAGGCCCCATTCCATGTGCTACTGCCCCCAGGTGCTTGGATGGCTACTACGGAGACCCCACCCTGGGCTCAGGCCAGCAGTGCTGGCCCTGCCTCTGTCCTGGGCACCCTGGCTCAGGCATCTATCATGGGACTTCCTGCCATGTGGACAGCACCAGTGGACGTGTCCTGTGTCTCTGTGCATCTGGCTATGCAGGTGAGGCATGGTTGGCAGCGACAAACCCATGGCCCTGCTCACTTGTTCACAATCCCATCAGGTCCACGAGGCAAATCTTTGCCAGTGTCACCTGTGTGTTTGAGCTGCAGGGCGTGCTCCTCTCCTCAAGAAGTTCCCATTCTTGAGGAATTATAGTAATGGAACTTGTAAGCCAAGAAGATGGGTCATAATATAGCTATTGTGTCCTCTGCCCTCCTGGCTGGACCTCAGACCTTTTGGCTGGTTAAGTGGGACCCAGAGGCCCCAAAGGTACAGGAAGACTACTGAGACAACCCACACATACCCCAATCCACTCCAGGCCCCCGCTACGACCGCTGCTCCTTGGGCTACTTTGGGCACCCTTGGCCAGGAGATGACCCCAGAAGGAGTCTGTGCCAGCCCTGCCAGTGCAACAACAATATTGATCCCGTGATCCAGCCGCCTGTGACCCCCACAGTGGACACTGCCAGCACTGTCAGCACCACAGCCATGGCCCTGGCTGTGCCCACTGCGGGCCTAGCTTCCAAGGCAGTGCCCTGCACCAAGGGGGCTGCCGGCATGAGTGTGTGAGTGGGATGGGTGAGGGTATCCCAAGGTGGGGGGTGCGTTCTCTTTCCTCAAGCCCTTCCTCTCCCCGGGCTGTGGCTGTGGCCGCCAGGGCACCATGCCTGCGAGGTGCCTGTCTGGGGCTGAAGCCTGCTTCTGCAACCGGGTCAGCGGGCAGTGCCCCTGCTGCCCCCACACGCTGGGGCGGGACTATAGCCGCTGTGCCCCGCTCTTCTGGAACCTGGGGGTGGGTCCCGAGGCCGCGAGCCCTGCAGCCGCCGTGCCCAACACACTTTGCAGCCAGTGTATCACCCAGTGAGTGAGCCCTTGTCGCACATAGCATGTGGCAGTGGCCAGGTGTGAGTGAATGTGTGTGCCTGTGGTGTGATTTATGGCTGGTGTGAGTGTGAGTGTTAATGTGACTACCAGCAGCAGTGTGTGTGGCTGCAAGCAGCTGTGTGTGCTCTTGTGCAACATTAGCTATGAGCAGACATGAGACCACGTGGGCCCGACCCCACGTGCCACTGTGTGTTGGCATGTAGGTGAAGCACTGTGAGTGGGTCATGGCAAGCAGAACGAGTGTGGCACGGGTGGGGCCGGGTGCAGCTGGGAAGGAGGCAGAAGAGGCACGGGCGGAGGGGGAGGATTGGGAGATGCAGGCAGAGATGGATGGCCGTGGGAAGCGAGTGTTTCCAGGAGGAGAGACATCAGGGACTGAATGAGATGAGGTCTGAATGAGATGAGGTCTGAAGTGTGTTCTCGAGTCCTTGGTGAGGAGAGGGTGGGAGTCGGCGGGTGAGCGTGTGGAAACAGTGGGGTGCTCCACTCAGGACACAGAGGAGCAGGTCAGGAGTTGAGAACCCAGAGGGCCGGTCTGTGGGAGGCGAGGCTGGCAATGTAGGGACAAGGTGGGGGCCGGTCAAGGGGGTCAGACCAGAGGAAGCAGGAGGGGAGAAGCCCTCAGCCAAGCACAGGTATGAGTGCTGCCTGGGCAGGAACAGGCTGAGAGGAGGCGACTGTGTGCTGCCTCTGAGCTCTCCTTTCCTTCTTCCTCCCCCAGAGGAGGCTCTTTGTTTCTGTGGACTGGCCACACACTCTTCCTTCAGGTCATGGGTCAGTGCCCCTGCCAGGCAGGATTTGGGAGCTGCACGTGCTCCTGGTATCAGGATGGGTACTGGGGTGACCCAGAGCGGGAATGCAGAGGTGAGCAGGGCATTCACACAATCCACCACCAGGGGTGAGGCTGTCCTGACGGGATCCTCCCTGTGGGATGGCGGGGGAGCCACCAGGTTGTCCTGAGGGAGAGCACGTGTTTATTGCTGTTTTCTCCAAAACTTAAAGAAATACTCATGAAAACAGCTGTAGGGAAAGAGTGTTGGCAAGGCCAGGTTGGGTAGGCCTGCGGAGCAGACACATTGGGTGGTTCTTTCCTGACCCCACCTGCCAGTCTTGACCCAAACTGACCTCTCTCTGGGCTGCAGAGCACCTGGAGCCCTGTGCTGTTTTCCTGCCCAAAGGCTGCCATGCAGTATGGCCTCTCTGGCTGGGGTAGATGCCAGTACCCATGACCGTTCTCTCTTTTTTTCTTTGCTGTACGCGGGCCTCTCACTGTCGTTGCCTCTCCCATTGCGGAGCACAGGCTCCGGAAGCGCAGGCCGAGCGGCCATGGCTCACGGGCCCAGCCGCTCTGCGGCATGCGGGATATTCCCGGACCGGGGCACGAACCCGTGTCCCCTGCATCGGCAGGCGGACTCTCAACCACTGCGCCACCAGGGAAGCCCCTATTCTCTTTTTTTTAAAAATATATTTTTTAATTTATTTTGGCTGTGTTGAGTCTTAGTTGCGGCACGTGGGATCTTTTTAGTTGTGGCGTGCAGGATCTTAGTTGCGGCATGCATGCGAGATCTAGTTCCCGAACCAGGGATCGAATCCGGGCTCCCTGCATTGGGAGCATGGAGTCTTACCCACTGGACCACCAGGGAAGTTCCCCCATGGCTGCTCTGAGCAGTGGCTTAGGTGAGGCTCTCATACTCACACAGGGTCATTCTCCTCCTCAGGCTTCTTGGCGGCAAGCCTAGTGTGAGTGCTGCTTGCTCCCTACCCTGACCCTCTCTCTCCCCCGCAGCCTGTGCCTGTGACCCCCAGGGCTCCATCTCGCCCAGCTGTGACCCACACACAGGCACCTGCTGCTGCAGAGAGGGTATCTCAGGGCTGAGGTGCCAGGCATGTGCCCGTGGCTCCAGAGGTGGCTTCCCACACTGCATGTCCTGCCCTCCCTGTTTCACCTCCTGGGACCAACACCTGGCTCTGCTCCAGCTACAGCTGGACACTGTGGCCCACAAAGTGGCCGCCTTACGCCAGGGGATGCCTGGCTGGGGTGCTGGGGGCACCTGCAGGCCTGGAGGGGGTACTCCAGCAGGCCCAGACACTCCTGGAATCTCCTTCCCCCGCTGTGGGGTCCCAACGACAACTTATGGAATGGATAGCTGGACTCAGGCAAGGGGTCTGGGGTCAGTAGGAAGGAGGTCTCCAGCTAGCCTCCCAGGGTCAGGGATTCAGAGGGTCTTGGGTTGGCCTGTCTGAGTCCTGGGTCTGGGAGTGAGGTGAGTTTCCTTGAGTGAGGAATCAGGGAGGAAAGGGCATCTCTGGCCAGGCTGATACTCCATCCTCCCACAGACTGGGAACAACTGCATTGGCCCAGACACTGTGGGCCAAAGGACAGGTTGTAGCAGAAAGAGAGCCATGGGTTAGGGGGCAGTGTGAACATCTGGAAGAATTATCCCAGAAGCTAGACTGTGTCAAGGGCTTGGCCTGGCTCAAGACGGCCACAGGAGCCCAAGGTGAGGCCAAGTAGGCAGGTAGGTGGGCCGCAGGTGATGGTGGGGTCTAGGCTGGGGCAGGAGGAAGGGACCAGGTGCCTTTGCTTACATATCTGGGGGACCCAGGAGTCTGACTGACCCTGCCAGTGGAAGCCCTGAGCCAACCCTGTGTCTATCGTTCCTATCCCCTGCAGGTGCTGAGGCCCAGGCCTCCTCAGCTGCCCTGCTTTCTCAAGAGGCCATGCTTACAGCCCAGGCTGTGGCCACAGTTGGAGGACCAGACAGCATCCTGGGACAGGCCCAGGAGGCCTGGTGGTGGACAGAGAAGCTGCTGTGGGGGATGGGCCGACCCAGAGGGACAGCTGTGTGGCAGCTGAAATTGAGGGGCTGGTCCACAGGGTCCAGAGGTGTCACCCTCAGCTTCTGCAGCTCCTAGTCAAAGCTGGAGTGGTAGGTGGAGATATGGGTCACTGTGGGAGGCTTTGCCAAGGCGAGGACTCTCTCCTAGGGGTAAACTGGGTGTAGGGCAATGGGAGCGCTGGGACATGCATTCCTCACTGGATCCCCTAGGAATCGGGGACCATTCCCCTAGGGGTCGGGGACCTCGGTTGGTTTATGTTCCTGTACCCTGTGGTGTTCCCTCTTGTCCTGGGACCCTGCCTACCTCCCAGTGGGCTCTGGTTACCTCCCATAACTCCTCCTATAGCCTGGACATGGCGGTCACAGCCTTGGAGCAGCGTCAGCAACTGGTACAGAGCCATGGGGGCTGTGGAGGAGAGCATGGTGGGAGTCACAGGGTACCATGGCTTGGCCATGGGATTGCAAGAGACATATTCCACATCTGACCCACCCCTACCAGCAACAGCAAATCCAGGCCACTGCAAGCTCCACGGGAATCCAGGCCTGGGAGATGAGGCGTCACGCAAGGGGTTCTGGGGTGTGGCCACCATGGCTCACATGCAAGCAACTGTGCAGCCCATCCAGCATTTCCTCTTGGGTACATGTCTGCTTGTGTGTCTGAGGTCAGGGGCAGGGGCAGGTGGGCATCTCGGACACTGCTATGATACTCCTTCTAGAATGAGGAATACTCATCAGGGCTGACCAGGGATCAGGTGGGAGCACTAGTGTGCTTCTAAATGTTTAACAAGTGGGGCCTGGGGGTCAGGAGGAACTGATTTGTAGTGTTTGTCAATTTCTGTGGCGTCAGTAATCCCCACCGTGACTGATTTCATTCTACCTGTCATTTAACAACTGATTCACAGAATTCCTGAAAATTTAACAATTGGCTCTTGGAAGCCTCTAGCACACCGTGTAGTCATGTCACAGGCAGGGTCAGTGAGAGATTAGGGTCAAAGTTCGTTGGGTCAGGGATCAGAGTTCACATCCAGGATCCCTACCTCCATCCCCACAGATGCTGTGAGTGTGGAGCTGGTGGCATGCCATGCGCTGGCGGTGCCCCTCCCCCAAGGTGGGGCAGCGGGCATTGCCCTCCTGCTGGATCAGATCCAGGGTGCCCTCCCTGTGCCAGATGCCGTAGGCCAGGAGCTGCCCAAAGCTGAAGGCGTTCTCCATCAGGCACAGCAGACCAGGTTAAGGGCCAGGAGGCTGGAGGTAGAGGTCAGAGGTTGGGGAGGAAAGGAATGCTGGACTGCCTGATCATCTGTGTCCTTCAGGGAGGGTACAGCCAGGGCCTTGGACTGGATGTTTAGGGAGCTGGGTGTTTAGGGAGTGCTGGCTGAGGCGGGAACTCATGCAAGGGCTGCAGAGCAAGGACTGCAGGTCTTGAAACAGACTTCGAGGTCTGGAAGCCAGTGTACAGGAGGTGATACCCCACCCATACCCCTCAGCTCCCTCACACCTCTTGCTCAGAGGCTGCTGTGATCCCCATTCTTTCCCTGAGATCCTTGACCAGTTGTGATACCACGGTGCTAAATACCCTGACCATGTAATGCTCTACCTTGCTGTGGCCTCTCTGTGATTCCCTAATCTTTGCCTCAGGTGGCAGGCCACCTGGCCTGGGTGGCACTGGCAGTGGATGTGACCCCGGTCCTGGGGCATCTGTCCAGTGCAGCTATGGCTCTCAGGACCTGTTTGGCCCTGAGTCAGTGGCAGGCCCAGGAGGCAGAAGAGTGAGCAGCACATGCCTTGGGTGTGGCTGGGAGCCTGGGCAAGGTGAGATGGGAAAAGTGGACGTTAGGGTCTCAGGGACACCTCTGGAATAGTGTGAAATCGGGTTTAGGCTGGGACTGGGCTATGCCAGGCTGAGGCAGGGTCTCAGTTCTAAAAGCCCCTGCCCCCCAAACCCAGGAACTTTGGGTGGCAATGTGTTTGGGACTGTAGAGTCTACATGGGGTGGGGTTTCAGATCTAGTCTTGCTCTAGGAATTGCAGGTGGCCCAGTTAGGTGTGGTGGAGTTGCAGGAGGGCACACGTAGCCCGGTGGCCACGGTGCAAGATGCAGAAGAGCGGGTACAGTGGGCATGAGCTGAGGCCCAAGAGTTTCTAAAGCTGGCACAGAACAGCTAGAGCTGCCTAGAGAGTACGTGGCTGGGCCATGGTGGGGTGGGTATGGGGGGTGGTCAGGGTCAGAAGGGAGGGTCAGAGTTATAGGGGTGGTGTGGGAGGGTCAGGGAAGGGTGCAGGTCAGGTCCAGATTCATATAGGCGTCAGGTCCAGATTCATATAGGGGTCAGGTCCAGATTCATATAGGGCTCAGGCTGGGGTTAAAGTCTAGAACAGGAGGTCAAACGTTAATTAGGGTTAGAGCTTATTTAGGGCTGGGGTCAGAGTCAGGGTCAGAGATTAGGACCAGAAGTCAGAGCCTGGCTCAGATGACCCTGATCCCCAGGGTTGGAGCGCCACCTGGCTCAGAATGCGCAGGCACTGGGCAAGAAAGTGACCACCCTGTGGGCCCTGGAGCAGCAGGCAGCAGAGCTGCTTGATCACATGCAGCTGTGGGCCATTGTGTACACCACCTGCTGACTGCTGTCTGTGGATGCCAGTAAGAGGGACTCTGGGACTACCTGGGTGACTCAGAGTGACCCCAGAGTGACCCAGGAATCTCCTGACCTTGAGAGACCAGAGGCACCACTGAGTGCCTGCTGATCCTGAGCAACCTCTATTTGACACCATGTTGTTTTCCAGTGGCCCTCTGACCTTGAGAAACTGGGAGGCGGCGGGTGTCGGGGGGAGGGCGTCAAGTAAAACTTCCTGAGACCATCAAGTGCCCCTGAGATCCTGATAGATCCTTATCTCTGAGTGAGCTCCAATTCTGAGCCCCCTCTAATATCCCTGAGCCCCTCAGATTGACTACATGACCCCCCGGGTGTCTGGAGACCCCTCCTCCACATAACTGGTGCGACTCCCAGCAACCCTTCAAGTCCAGCAGATTGACTGCCCCCCTGCCCAGACTCTCCCTGTGAAGCCTAATGATTCCCCTGAAGAACCCCAGCTTTCTCCCCTGGGCCTACACCTCTGGGGTACTCTCCACCTGACCCCAGACAGTGGGCGCAGCTGTGGCAGCTCAAAGCCACCCCGACAGGGCCCTACAGACCCCCAGAATCCGTGGTCCCTACCGCAGTCCCAGGGGCCTGGGTGGGGCATGGGCTCTGGGCAGCGCGCATTCCGAGCCCGGGCTCGGAAGCTCTCGGTGGGCCAGAAGGCCTGGAGTGGATGAAGAGCCATAAGATCTGGATTTGCTTGCTACTGCTCTGGTCTGTTGTCAGTGACCAGCACTCATTTTCATAGTGGGAAACTGAGCTCTTCTCATGCCTACTTGTTGTAGTGATTGGGGGAAGCAGAGACCCTGGGCAGGAGATGGCCTTTCTCCATCTCCCCCGCTACCCGTATGTTGTCCTGTCCTTCCGGCCAGGCTGTCCATCCCACATCCCTGAGTAGGGGAGCTTGACACCCTGAGTGCACCCTTCCATCTCCCCACTGATGCTGGAGCCCTGGGACTGAAAAGCCTAATTGATGGTGACTTCCACAGCACCAATGACACTGGAGACAAAGGCTAGTTTCCATGGGCCACTTGAGGTCTCAAAGATCAGACTCCTCTTCTTTGTTTATGCCATAGCCCCTGCTTGGTGCGTCCCCTAACTATAGTGGCCTAAGGGCCCCAAACCCTGTGTTCCCCTGGCTCTGTGCAGGCCTGGGCATGAGGGCACAATAAAGATTTGCAGGTGAGCCAGCCTGTGTCTAGTTTCTAGAGTGAGAGTCTTTTCCAGAGAGGTGGGGGTTTCTGCATGATGTTGTGCTCCTGCCCGAGATCCGCTCCGTGCTTTGCTTCCTGCCGTACTTCCCAACTTTGCTCAAAGTCGCCGGACTCCGAGCTAGTGGAGGGACCGCCGGACAGACAGAGGACCGAGTGGGGAATCGGCCAAGGACCCACACAGGCAGAGTCAACACGGGACCCCAAGGGAGGGGATAGATGGGCATGGGCCCCAGACCTCTCATCCCCCCTCATCCTGATTCCTCTCCTCTTCAGGATGGAGCGGGCCGCAGGGGAACAAGGGAGGGACCTGCGGGGACAGCCTGGGCCCTGGCAGCTTCTACTGGGCCTGCTGCTGAGTGGTGAGAGGGCCTGGTGAAGGCCTGGGGGTTGCGGGATGTGATGGTGGGTCCTGGGGTAGCTGGCTCTGGGGCTGTGGGGTGGGAGTGCAGCAGAACCAGCTGACCCCCTGTTCCCAGTGCCAGCCACCGCCCTGGCCCAGGCCCCGGCCCCGGATGTTCCAGGCTGTTCGCGGGGAAGCTGCTACCCCGCCACAGGGGACCTGCTGGTGGGCCGTGCTGACAGACTGACCGCCTCATCCACCTGTGGCTTGCATGGGCCCCAGCCCTACTGCATCGTCAGTCACCTGCAGGTGTGATTGGAGTTGAGGTGGGGGGCTGGCTCAGGGTGGTGCCCACTGGCTGAGGTACTAACGCTGATCCTGACCCTGACCCGACCCAGGACGAGAAGAAATGCTTCCTGTGTGACTCCCGGCGCCCCTTCTCTGCTAGAGACAACCCAAACAGCCATCGCATCCAGAATGTAGTTACCAGCTTTGCACCACAGCGCCGGGCAGCCTGGTGGCAGTCAGAGAATGGTGAGGCTGTGGGTGAGGTATGGGTGAGCAGGGCTGTCCACCAAGTAGCCTCAAGTCCCTGACCTCCAACTCCTGCCCCAGGTGTCCCCGTGGTCACCATCCAGCTGGACTTGGAGGCTGAGTTCCATTTCACGCACCTCATTATGACCTTCAAGGTGCCCGCGTGTCTGGGAGCCTGCTTGAAGCACCCTGCTTGGCTCCCCATTGCCCCTGAACAGAGTCCCAGCTCTTCAGCCCAGCCTCCCTGTGCTCATATGCTGTGCCCTGGCTGGATGGGAGGCTCTTTAACCTCCCACACCTTCTGTTGCCTGCCCCCTCCAGGCCTTTGTACACGCTGCCTCAATCCCAGGCTGGGTCAGGTGCTGCCTCCCTGGGCCCCGTGACCGCTGAGTCTCCCCACTAGAGGTGGCTTCCCTTCCTGATCCTTGCTTGGCTTCCCCTGGTCACCTCCACCTGTCTGTGAGCTGCTTGAGGGCAGGCCCCAGCTGGGCAGGGCTCTTGATGGGCCTGGGCTGGACTTGGGTCCTAGTGCCCGCTGATCAGCCATGCTCCCCACCCAGACGTTTCGCCCTGCTGCCATGCTGGTGGAGCGCTCAGCAGACTTTGGACGCACCTGGCACGTGTACAGATATTTCTCCTATGACTGTGGGGCTGACTTCCCAGGAGTCCCACTGGCTCCCCCACGGCACTGGGATGACGTAGTCTGTGAGTCTCGCTATTCAGAGATTGAGCCATCCACTGAAGGCGAGGTGAGGGCTGGGATCTGGGCTTGGGGCAGAAGGGGGGCACGACGGGCATGAGGCAGGTCCAGTGTCTCTAATGACTCTATGCCCTTCCAGGTCATCTATCGTGTGCTGGACCCTGCAATCCCTATTCCAGACCCCTATAGCCCATGGATCCAGAGTGAGTGTTCCATTCTTTGAGGCTGGCGCAGTCCCAGCCTCCGGCTGGTGATGACTATCTGGGGCCTCAGTAGCTATTCTGGGTGCTTCCTAGGGCAGGTGCCAAGTCCAATTTAGCTCATATAGCTGTAGACAGGAGGTCTCCCAAGGTGACCTTGGCAGCTTCAGCTCCTGGGTGGGCATGGGGCAGCAAGAGCCTGCCTGGACAGCTGGCCCCCAACCCCTTTCCCCCACTTAGACCTGCTAAAGATCACCAATCTACGGGTGAACCTGACACGGCTACACACGCTCGGGGACAACCTGCTTGACCCACGGCGGGAGATCCGCGAGAAGTACTATTATGCCCTGTATGAGCTGGTTGTGCGTGGCAACTGCTTCTGCTATGGACACGCCTCACAGTGTGCACCTGCCCCAGGGGCACCAGCCCATGCTGAGGGCATGGTGAGGGTCTTCAACTGGCTGGAGTAGGGCTGGGGGCAGGGGCAGGCATGGCTGGACAGTGCTGACCACTTGCCTACCCACCCTGCTAGGTTCATGGGGCCTGCATCTGCAAACACAACACTCGTGGCTTCAACTGTGAGCGGTGTCAGGATTTCTATCATGATCTGCCCTGGCATCCGGCTGAGGACGGCCACAGTCACGCCTGCAGGAGTAAGTGAGACCCTGGCCCTCATAGCCCCAGGACTCTGTGGCCTGGCTGTGCCCTGGGCAGAACCTAGAGCTGGTTGATTAAGCCCCTAACACCTAGGCTGTGCCTGAAGGGTATCCTGGTCTTGATGCCCCTGGGGACTCCCTCAACCCTCTGCCACAGTCTGCTCTGGTTAGGGGCCCAGTATGATGCTGAAGCCTTAAAGTCCCTGAACCCCCACCCACAAATTCTGGCCTGTGGCAGGGACCTAAGGTGGCACTGGGGGCCCCTAAGCCCCTTACTCTCAGGACATGGTCCCTCAAGTGGCCTTTGCCCTGCTCTTCCCTCCCCTCTCCCAAGAGTGTGAGTGCCATGGGCATACCTACAGCTGCCACTTCGACATGGCCATATACCTGGCATCTGGCAACGTGAGTGGAGGTGTGTGTGATGGGTGTCAGCACAACACAGCTGGGCGCCAGTGTGAGCTCTGCCGACCCTTCTTCTACCGTGACCCAACCAAGGACCTGCGAGACCCAGCCGTGTGTCGCTGTAAGGCTGGAATTGGACATGGGAGAGGGAAGGCTGATCCTGGGGTATGAGCTGAAGTGCCAGACTGCTGTGCAGGTTGCAGGGATTTGGGGTGGGGGGATGGAGGGTGGAGCCAGACTGGGAATCTAGGGTGGGGGCTTGAGAGATGACTGGTGCTGGGCTAGTTGGCATAAGGGTAACCCTGCACTTCTTTGTGCTCTCAGCCTGTGACTGTGACCCCATGGGTTCCCAAGACGGTGGTCGCTGTGATCCCCATGATGATCCTGCACTGGGGCTGGTCTCGGGCCAGTGTCGCTGCAAAGAAAATGTGGTGGGCTCTCGCTGCCAGCAGTGCCGTGATGGCTTCTTTGGGCTCAGTGCCAGTGACCCTCTAGGCTGCCAGCGTATGTGCTTCCTGTCCTAACTCCTGTGCTGACCTTAACCCTTGACCTCTTACTCTGGACCCAACTGGACACGAGCACTGCCCCAGCTCCCCAAAGTGCTGATGGGTCTCCTTCTCCACAGAATGTCAGTGTGATACACGGGGCACAGTGCCAGGGGGCACCCCTTGTGACCGCAACAGTGGAGCCTGTTTCTGCAAGCGTTTAGTGACTGGACGTGGCTGCAACCGCTGCCTGGTGCGACTGGAGGGGCTGGAGTTCTGCACTTCTCCTCAGAGGATAGGGATGGGAGTGGTGTCCCTGCCCCACTGGGTGGGCGCTGATGGCTTTGGGTCTGATCCTGGTTGAGAGGCCTCAGGTCTGGGAGGCCAAGCGTGGGAGCCAGTGGTCGGGGGGCCAGGCTTTCCCCAAGGGGTGGTAGAGGCTGAGAGCCATCATTAGATTCCCTGTTGGGCAGAGAGGGGGGTCTATTTCTGGCCCTCAGCAACCTCTTCTCCCCCAGCCTGGCCACTGGGGCCTGAGCCACGACCTACTTGGCTGCCGTCCGTGTGACTGTGATGTCGGTGGTGCCCTGGATCCCCAGTGAGTACTGTATAAGGGGCCCTGGGAGGGGCGGGAAAAGATCCTGGGCGGGAAAGGGGATCCTTCTTGAGTAACCATGTGTTCCCCAGGTGCAACGAGGCCACAGGTCAGTGCCACTGCCGCCAGAACATGGTGGGGCGACGCTGTGAGCAGGTGCAGCCTGGTTACTTCCGGCCCTTCCTTGACCACCTAACTTGGGAGGCTGAGGAAGCTCGGGGGCAGGTAGGGGGGCACTGTTGAAGGACAGGGCATGGGTGATATTATGGCTGGAGAGGCAGGGTTATGGGTGGTGCCTGGTGTAGGGAGGGTGTCTGCCTCGGGCAGGGCCTCAACTAGAGAGCTGGGGTTTGGGGACAGGCTGTGGCAAAAGAGGCAGTGCCTTGCCTGAGCCCACACCCCCAGCCTCATTGCTTCCCAGGCACCTGATGTGGTGGCACGCCTGGTGACCCCTGGGGGAATTCCATCTTGGACTGGCCCAGGCTTTGTTAGGCTGCGGGAAGGCGAGGCACTGGAGTTCCTGGTGGCCTCTGTACCAAGAGCCATGGACTATGACCTGCTACTGCGCTTGGAGCCCCAGGTCAGACCTTGTGACACCTAACCCAGAGCTGACCCTCTGGATGTGGGAGCATCTCATCCATCACCCCATTCCCCTAGGTACCTGAGCAATGGGCAGAGATGGAACTGACTGTGCAGCGCCCAGGGCCTGTATCTGCCCACAGCCCATGTGGGCACATGCTGCCCAAGGATGACCACATCCCAGGGACCCTGCGACCAGGCACCAGGTGAGGACACTAATGGTAGCACCTACAACTGTGGGGGGTTGTGGGTCAGCCCTAAGCTCCCTGCAGGGCACTTGGAAGACCCCCCTGCTCATTCATCTGTTCCTTCCTTCAAGTGCCTCCTCCTCCTGCGTACTGTTTGCCAGCTGCTGCTGGGCGTGGCACTGGTCAGAGGAAGGAAGTAGACAGAACAAGACCTGCTCCTTCAGGGGTCTAAGTTCCAGAGGCCAAGGCAGGAAATAAGGGGAGCCCATTGATTGTCAGGAT